GGAACTAGTCCTGCAGATCCTATTCGGGGATATGGATATTGTGGGGGTTCAAGCGATTGGAATATGGCCAGTGGACGTTGCTGTGGTTGGCCGACCACTGTGAGGGCGAAGGCAAGTTAAATGTTGCCGCTGGGGAGCGTGGCTCTCTCCACGCGAGGGTGTGCGGCTGGGGGCTGTGTTGAGAGTGACAGTGGTGTTGTATCTATGCCCTGTTTTCCGTTATTAATATTAAGAATAATTAAAAAATATATTTTTTTTATCTATATATATATTTTTTTAATTAAATAATGAAAACAACCCACTTCTCCACCGGCTATACCAGGAATCTATGAAACATGGAGGGCCATTAAAACTATAAGAATTCGGTCATAGAGAGGTCAGAGACATCCAGATGGACAAAGATCGATGGCCTGACCTCCCAAGACATCTTGAGATGCACGGAGGGGGTGCAGAGCAGAGAAAAACAACTTTTGCAACTCGCGTTTTCCTTACACGTTTTCCGTACCGAAAAGTAGAAACTTAACAAAAAGAATTAACCAACAAACAATAGGGGCCTTTTATTAGTAATTCCCTTATATTACTCGTTTTCACCGCATACATATTATTTAGAATTATATGTTTCCTATCTACATGACCTTCCTAAAAACTAAAGAGTACGAATTCCAGAAAGCTTAAGTGGAAACATAGTTACACTTAACCTCAGGACATTAAAATATAACTCAGAATAAAACACCAATCTCTGGAGAACTAAACTTGGCGAAGCCCCCAAATAATGATGTAACGAGGATCATTACGAATATTCATGAAACATAGACTAATGATAACCACGATACTTAACCTCAGGACATTAAAATATAACTCAAGAATAAATGTAACACACAGGACCACATAAATGTATTGCAAAAATCTCCTCAGCCACCTTTGTCTCCAACGGTCCGGCACAAACAGATGGCCCATAAATGCTTGGGGGGTTAGAAAAGGTCGCGAGGAGGGGTCGCCGGGGGTGTCTGGTTCTTCTCGCTCGTTTTTGTTGTTTTGTTTCCCGCTCGCAAGGAATGCGCAGAGAGGGGAGTCACGTTTTGAGTTAAGCACAAGCGCACATAGCGAATGAGCAGTCTGGTTCGAGTCGTGCTCACTCTCGCAACTCGGCTTGCAACGCGGCGTTGCGACGGGGCTCGCAAGAGAGCGGGGGCAGATCGTGCCTCGAGGAGAGATGGGACGACGAAACATCGTTAAAGTGGCAGCCTGAGTGCAATCGGGTTCGAGTCGTGCTCAGTCTCGCAACTCGGCTTGCGACGCAGCGTTGCGACGGGGCTCGCAAGAGAGCTGGGGAAGATCGTGCCTCGAGGAAAGATGGAACGAGGAGGGGTCGTTCGAGTCGCAGAAGTCTGAGTTCAACCTGGGTCGAGGCTGGGTTTCAGCCGTGCTCCGGCTGGCGGAGCGTCGTGAGGGAGCAAACACTGATGCCGATAGCAGTTGTCACTTCTCGCAGAACGAAGTTAAGTGCGAGTGAAGCTGGCAGCTGCACGAACAAAGGAAGCACGGAGAAGAGAGAGTGACGAGTGACGACAAGCAATCAACCTATAAAAAGGCGGAAATCGCCAAGCGTCGACCAACCGAGCATCGAAAAGGACGAGCAGCAGCGGATGAGCAACAAAAGACATCGTTCATCGCCAGAGCGCTCCAAGCCGGTGAGCGCGCACAGCCGCGTCGTCCAGAGCCTGAGCCAACACAGCCTGAAGTAAGGGCGAGTGTCCGTGTGAAGTTGGCAGCGATCAAGAAGAGAGCGACAGCAGCACGACCCGGGCGTCACCGAGCGTCGTGCCGACCCAACAATCATCCAGCAGTGGAGAAGCCTGGAGCTGCCACCAAGAGAGAGAAAGCGCCATTGAATGCGTAGTGTGCTTGATACCCACACCGACCAACACCCAGTGAGAACAGACAAGACGTCGCAGCGACGACGGAATCATCGCGCACCACGCCGGCGAGCGTCGTGCCAACTCGTCATCTAGCAGTAGAGGGAGAGAGAGCGCAAGAGCAGCACGACTCGGACGTTACCGAGCGTCGTGCCGACTCGTGGAGGAGCTGCGCGCTATCCAACGACGGAATCATCGCGCACCACGACGGCGAGCATCGTGCAAACTCAATCGAGCAGTGGAGAGAGCGAGAGCGCACAAGCAGAGACACGCCCGAGCGAGGGAGCAGCACGGCTCGCTGCGGCCACGCCCAACCCAGAGAGAACCTCTGGCCGCTGTTTGTATCCTCCCACACCACACAAGCTAACGACACAACTCCCGGCTCTAAGAATTAATTAATTTTACAAGGGGATAACGCACACACAGCACGCACACGAATAAGACTTTAAAAGAAAAAATATCTTTGCGTTTCAAAAAGGGTTGCCATTTCGAGGTGGTGCGTTCAATATCAACTGATCGTGCAAAGCAGTTGCTGCCGTCAAGTTACATGAATAAGGAATGTTTTAGTCATTCATTTTCGTTAAATGCATAATCTCGCAAATGAATAAGTTTTAGTCATTCATTTTAGTTAATTGCATAGTCTCGCCAATGAATAAGTTTTAGTCATTTATTTCCATTAATTGCATAATCTTGCCTTTTGCATACTAGAGTGTCATGTGTTTGTTTAGAATTAAAATTGCTTAACACCAAGTCTCGAGTGCTTCTTTCCAAGTCCATGCAAAACTGTCTTATTCCTTGCAACTGTATCCTGTGATGAGATATGAAACTGGAGACCTAAAATAACATAACACACACTAAGATAATTGGTAAATGTTTAATCAATGATAATCGTGTTATCCTGATTGATATAACTCTGGATAAACGAAACTAAGCTTAATTGTCATAACTGCATACATTAACATAATCGCACGCATCCGCATAAATTATTACGATTATATCCGTGATTATCATAATTTATGCATATAATTACACGCATTATCATAATGTATGCATATTAATACACACTATCATAATTTATGCCATTCACGCATTTTTCGGAAAATTATTTATTTTTATTATTTTTATCAAAATTTCATAACCCAACACATACAACAGTGGGTAGATGCTGTGTACGTGAGATGTCTGTGCTGGTCCTCAAGGGAGGACTGCTGATTGGCAAGAGCAGGAAAATTTTTGTTGTCACGTGTAAATAATATTTTTTAGTTAAAATGTAAATATTGGGGCATCCATTGCGTCAATTTTTGGGTATTTATTGCGGTTCTCCTTACGCGGGGCGGATTTAGATCATCTCCACTACCCTGGGGCCGGGTGGCTGTCGTGTACGACATGCGGATGTGCGTTTCGTTGTGCTGTGACTCAGGGGGTTGGGTTCTCCTTCTCGTCACAGATTTTCGGCGCCTGCCACATTGGGTGTCACCGGTTGTGCTAACCGGATGTGGACTTGAAGGGGGAGTGGAGCGCCTGTTCGTCACGCTTGCTCTAGCAGTTGCTCTCTGAAGTTGGACTTGAGCCAGGCAGATAGACTAGCAACACGGACACGCTCTAAGACACTGCATTCCTGGTTTATGCGCGTCGGCCATTCTTGCGTGTCGGTTACCGTTGTTGTGCATTGCTTTCCATTCCTTAATTCTTCTGGCTTGTTGCACGGAGGACGGGCCGGTGTTCCGTACCGGATCCTGATCCCTTCCCTTAGTTAATTGTGTTTGTTGTTGTACACTCCGTTGTGTCTGGGGTGATTCCTGATTGTGATGCCGTCGCTCGCATTATTTTATCCTATTGCAGCCGGGACGGCTGGATTTTTCATCAGGGGGGGGGTCATGTAATGCGAGCGTAATTGGGGTTGCTGCTGGACTCTTGCCCAATCACACGACCCGGGGTTTTGGGGGTGGAGCCCGGTATGGGGGGCATGTGAGAGGGGCCGCCGTTCACCTCGGCTCCAATGGAAAGCGAGGTGAATGGAGGTGGAGCCAGCAGGGCAGCATGGGAAGGCCGGATCTGTCGACCCGGAAGGGAGGAGTCAGGGTCACGTGGGAGAGATGATATAGAGGGGAGCCCGGAAGAGATCGGGGCCAGTTGATGGAGTGAAGAAGCGGGACCACGTTGGGTGGCCGCCGCGCCATCAGCCACGTGGCTGATGGGGCTTCGGCACACCGTCGGCCAGCGGTGTGCGGAGCGGGAGAAGGAGCTGACAGAGGAGCGTGCGGGGCACGTGAGAGGAGCGTGCGTGGCACGCGAGAGGAGCGTGCGTGGCACGCGAGAGGAGACGCTGGTCCCTTGTCAGGACCAGCGGGGTGTGAGGACGAGTGGAGGAGCTGAGGAGGAAGCGCGTGCGCGGGGCGCGCGAGAGACGAAGCTGGTCCGTGGAGGAGACCAGTAGGGTGCGGAGAAGAACCTGAATAAAAGACAAGCGGAGACCAGCAGTGCCTGACGGAGTCTTTTATTACACATGCAATAAATATACACATAACACTGCGGCTATTTCTTCACAGTGTGATGTCCTCTTCGCCCCCCCCAACATGATGCGTCCAGTTACTGCTATAAAGTCCGTAGAATATAAAACAAGTAAAATTCTTACACAATTTTTAGATAATTTTTGTTTTATATTTGTATTATTTTACTTTTTCCCTTCTACGTGACTTTACCGAAAGAAACAATAATGTCACTACACATGTTTTAAGATTGAGATCCAAAGAGGTGCAGGCTGCAGCAAAGGTTAAGAACCACTGCTCTAAAAGCATGTTTCTAAATGTGGAGGGAAATACCGGAGAAAAATCCATGCGACCACGGGGAGAGCACGCAGACTCAAAATATACAGGCGTCAGGGTTGGGATTGAACCCACAACCTCTTGTATACCAGGCGAGGTAGTTAACATCTTGCCACCGTGGGTCGATAAAATAAGCATCACTTTCTGGACAATTCAACCGTGGTTGTCCTATAGATAGACCCATCCCCACCATAGAAATGTGTAATTTCCACCACTGGTCCAGAGCTGTAAACAAGAGATGAGCACCAATGCCTCAATGCTCATTTGAGCTTGACATGTTTAATGAACATAAGAAGTACATATAAAAAATGAGTACATGCATTGTAATTGAAACAAGTAGTATGTAAAACGCATATACAGTAATGTAATTTAAGATAAGCAGGTACATATAAAAGTGTGCGTGCACTTGAATACCGTTTGAATACAATAAACGTATATTTCATTTGTGTAGGTGCACGATATGTTACGGTTACATTTTACTTACATAACTTTTTTCAAAACATTGCAAACTAAAAATATATTTTTCTAATCACAAGGGTATTTTGTTACCCAAATATATTTCAAATGTTCATGGTTATGATGCAATAAAATGTTGTAAAGTATATTGGTTACATGTTCAAAACAATTTCATACATTTAAACGTGGCTGAAAACCTTTATTCTTATAATTTCAATGTAGTATATTCAGTTTCCCCTTAAATTTATATTTCACCAACCCACACTGACCACTGGATAAAGTAGCAGCCAAACAACCCCCATGACTGACGGCGTGGGGAGGCCTTCATCCAGCAGTGGATTGCCAAAGCGCTGTACAGGTATCCCTCGATTTACGTAAGTGATACATTCTTCAAAAAACATGAGTAAAACGACATTCTGTTAATTTGAATGGCTTTTCCCATTAATTTAATATGAAAATTATGGATGTGTTTCTGGCCTAAAGGCTGTTGCTGTGACCAAATGTTGGTCCTTGCAATGCACATCGAGGCCAGATCCTAGAAATCCAAGACCAGTACAGCCTTTGTAGACATGTCATCGAACTATGACACGGTTGTGATTTAAAGACCTACATGAAGTTCGTAAGGATCACCCCCCTGCCTCAAATATGCCTACTATGGACGATGTCGAGCAATGTGTCCATTTGGCTTAGCACTCACGCCGTCGCTCTTTATTATTTACAAAAGCGATGCGCCACCAACGAATTAGCACATATTGCATACGTGGATGACCTTGCCTTGGCTATTCAAGCAGTCACCTTCATTGACATCGAATTCATCTTGAACGGGGACCTAAACACCATAGATAGATATTTCCGGACATGGAGGCTCAGCCGAGTAGCTGCATGTCATCTTCGTAACAAGACTGTTAAGCACACCCTGAAAGTGTCCTTTTGTGGCTACACTGTGCAAGATGACCCCGCTCCGACCTACCTAGGAGTGAATTTGGACCGCACCCTAACCTTCCACGATCACCTGAAGGTAGCCACTAAAATGAAGATAAGGGTAAATCTGGTCCAGAAACTGGCACCCACAAGATGGGGAGCATCAACATTGGTGCTACAGACTCGATTTGTTGATGTCCAAATGAACGATGCAATGACATGGAATCCCCAAGACGACCCCAATGCCCTGGCTTCCTGTGTCATCGCACGTAGCTTCCCCATCCATTCAGGAAGTCCAGCGATGCATAGGAAACATACATCTCCCCATCCACCAGGATATCAAAAATGTCACTCACCACCGTTTGAAGTTATGCAAGCCCTTTTGGACCCACCCACTTAACCTTCAACAATGCAACTTCCACCCTGATGATGCTTGAAACCCCGAATGGAGATCACGACACTTCACAAACATGTCATGGAAGACCGGATGCTGATCCCTGGTTAAAATTTTCCACTCAGCTCATGGGCCACAACCCTAAACCACATCTGCACAAACCAATGGAAAATTTTAAACTCTGTGGTGTGCGACTGTGGTCACTCAAAACAGACCATGGAACATAGAACGACTCAATTCCCAATTCACAAACTTGAACAGGATATCATTCAACCATTTTACAAAGTTTTACAAATATTTTAAAGGTTTTAACCGAATACCTTTTATAATCATCCTTCTTAAGATTTCCATAAACGTTACTTTGTAAATTCCATCATCGCATTTTAAATCCGAAAATATTCCCAGTAATTTAGACGATTGTATCTCATTGCGTGCAGCCTAGTCACACACGTACTGATTTTGCGAACGCTTTGGCAGTTGAGGAGGCAGCGGAGTGGGCAGGGTCTGCGCTCGGGAACTCCTGCATGGCAGCGGTGGGGCCGTCTGAGGTTGCCTTGGCGATGCCACCACGGGCAACGTGTTGTGCTTGCGTCCGTGTGGTTGGGGTGACACGCTCTGCGAGTATTTGGCCTGAGTGAGTAAATAAGAGCCGCTCAAATCAGGCCGTATGGAAATGGGTTTGTATGAAGATCTGGGTGGGAGGGGTAACTGGGTGTGTGATTGGCGAGAAGATACGGGTTGTGCTGGCAATGAATTATATTTGTATCTGGGTGTTGAAGGTAAGGCATTGTCTATGTGTCTGGGTTTTGGAGGAAACGGATTGTCTGTGTATCTGGGTGTTGGGGGTAAGGTACTGGAGGCCTGTCTGTGCGTTGGGGCTGAGGAATAATCTCTGTATCTGGGTGTTGGAGGTAAGGGATATAATGTGTGCCTGTACGTTGGGGGTAACGGGTTGTCTGTGTGTCTGGGTGTTGGGGGTAAGGTGTTGAATGTGTGTCTGTGTGTTGGGGGAAACAGGTTTTCTGCACACCTAGGTGCCACCCTTAAGCGATGATCTTCTTGCCTGGATGCTCGGAGTAGTGGACTGTCTGTTGTCTGGGACGATGGGCTCGATTGTTTGCCTGTGAACATCGGTGGCACGGGCAAAGCGCCCCTCGAGTGGCCGGTAAACGTGTCGTATTGGTGCTGGGTCTGCAGAGGCAACGTGAGCCTTCTCTGCTGTGGAATTGGTAAAGTTGTTGCCCTTGTCCCATCTGTTCGTGGTAACGTTGAATACCTGTGAAGATAATTAAATATGAGCATAACTATGAATAGTTCATAGCACTTTGTCAATCCCAGAGTGGCGAGGTTCATAGTGCAATGTGCTAACCACTGCACCGCTGCTTTACACCACACAAGGGTAAAAAAATCGAACTTTGACCATCTACATTAGTGCCACAATTTATTCGTAGGTGTGGAGAAGGACACATACAAATGTTGTGCTTCTCACACACGTTCTTATTGGGGCTGTGATCAAAGAGAATTATCCTCATTATCTGTGCTATCACCTCTTGCTTGTTTTATAAAACTACCATCTCTCTTCTCCAATCATCTGCGAATGGCATAAACTTAGGGCCTAACACAAAAAAGTAATATTTTGTTACGTCGCCTCTTCCGCGATTTCCTGCTTGCGTAACGGCCCAAAACATTACGGTGAGAAAGTTAAACATATTACAGGTCACACATTTATTTTTTTCACTGATATAGTAGTAATCATTACTTATTTACCCAGGAAAGCCACACTGAGAATAGGGATACAGTCTGTTCTTCCATAACACAAATTGGATATAACCACAATTAATGTAATAGGGAACACATTTTTTATAATGTGAATGCGAATTCGATGTGACGCACACGAGTAAACAGAACTTTGTCGCACGAGTAGGAATAAGCGGCTGTATGGCTGCCTCTGTGTAGCATCACACAAGATGGGATGCTGCTGGATGTTTTTTTTTATGCTATCCAAGCCCCTCAGTCTTTGTTCAGCCTGAGTACACATCTCACGCGTTATTGCAGACTGTGCTTTACCATATATTCTATATTATTTACTATAACGCATCTATCTTGATTTGAAGCTTTCGTGATTGCAGGAATCCATACTCTTTGGTTCTTTCGGTAAAGTCACGTAGGTATAACATTAAATAAATCACGACGTTTCGATCGCAACACAAGCGGTCGTCCTCAGGTGGAAAAAATATAATCCAGCAGTGGAACTGCTGAACCAGCGAGAGAGAAGTTACAACAATGCTATATATGTGGCGATGGGCAAGCAAGCGGGGTCTGAGCTGGAAAGAAATTCCATCCACGGACGCAAGCACGTCAGTTGTGTTAATGGGGGAGATTAGGGAGAGAGGAATTAGGGAGGGAGATTAGCATGAATGAGCACCATGAGAGTGCAATCCAAAGGACGTGAGCATGAGAGTGCAATCCAAAGGGCATGTGAGCATGAGAGTGCAATCCAAAGGACATGTGAGCATGAGAGTGCAATCCAAAGGACATGTAAGCATGAGAGTGCAATCCAAAGGACATGTGAGAGATCTAAGATAGAGGCATAGAGAGAGAGAGAGACAGACTGCAAGACAGACTGCAAGACAGACTGCGAGACAACAAGGCTCACCTGATCGAGTCGCTAACCTTTCTCAAGAGATGCCGCGATAACAAGGTAATACCGATCGCATTTACACTCACATCTGCTGCTGTCACTTCCCCTAACGCTAAACGGATTTTGTTCAAAACTAGCCTATCGCTAATCTCAGAGAGAATAAGATTGCTCCGATTTGAACTTGATAATTTAGACAAGACTCTCTTACAATCACACTTAAAATTAACTGATAAAATGTCCACTTCTGATTGGGACCATGTAGAAAACATGACAGTCTCTTCTGCTACTTCAATGTCAACCAAATGTAAAGTTAACTTGATCGCTAAATTCAACCTCCTGTCAAAAAAGAAGCCAGAGCCACACGTTAAAAAGTTAAATGTTAACAAAATTGTCATCAATCAGAGGAACATCCCAATTTCCGACAGCCTAAAATCGGTACTAGCTAAAGGGTTGAATTTCGCAGTCACCCCTAAACACATCCCAGTGGATGATATAATTGCCCAGGCCGACGTAGCCCTCAAAGGCTTGGGACACATCCCGGCAGACGTTGCTAGATCTGAAATCGCTGCTATCCTCAAAAACGCTAAGACACCCGTTCGCAACATCAGCAAGGACGAGCGTTTTGAACTCGCTCAATTAATAAAGAGAGATTATATTATCATCCTCTCAGTCGACAAGGGCAATGCCACTGTCATCATGGATAAAACCACATACAACAACAAAATTCCGGACCTTCTTAATGATAGCAGCTATACCAAAATCAACAGAGATCCCACCAACTGCCTAGCCACAAAAACCAACAATATCACTAAATCGACTTTTCTAATCGATCAAACCAAGCAGAGCTCCCTAAAACCTTCGGCTGCTAGACCACCCAGATTTTATGGCCTTCCAAAAATCCACAAAGTAGGTACCCCGCTCCATCCTATCGTCTCCACCATTAACTCACCCACCTACAAACTGGCCCGATTTCTGTCTGAGACCCTGCTTCCTTTCACGGGCAAGTCCACTTCAGCTGTACTTAACTTAGCTCACTTGGTTTCTCTAATCAAGGACATCTCACTGTCTCCAGATGATTTGCTTGTCAGTTTCGATGTTGTCTCTCTGTTCACCAATGTACCTGTACTCGACACCATTGCAATCATTGAAGACTTGGTCCAACAAGGACTGAATCCAGATTACCAACTTTGGTAAGGCACTGTCTTACCAACACATACTTCACCTGGAATGGTACATTCTACAAACAAATTGAGGGTACCCCAATGGGTTCTCCCTTATCACCAGTGGTAACGAATGTTTTCATTGAGAAATTTGAGAGAGATGCCATCTAGACATCCACCCTTTCCTTGTTTTAGCTATGGGAGGGAAACAGAGAACCCAGTTGTAACCCAATGCAACACAGGGGGGGAACATATAAACTCCACGCATAAGTCACGCGAGATATGAATCGAACCCAGGAATTTCTCGCTGTGAGGCGCGAGCATCACCGCTGTGCCACTACCCTGTCGCCCACTCATTGCTAGGCATATGTATGCATATGTAATAATGTTCCAGGAGACTTGGACGCCGGGGTTGGAGGCACACGTATTTATTCCGTGTTGGGTACAGCACAACACTGGACATACAACACTGGAGGGGGTATCGGCCCCCTCACCCGTCTAACTGGGAATACACCCTCTAGCTACGCCTAGCCTACCTCTTGGTCCTCCACTAACGGGCTAGGGGAGGCTCGCTAGCCGACACTGGTAAGTCGGGCTCACGGTACCCGGAGTCCCAGACCAGCTCTTACAAGAGCACCGGCTCTGGCTCTCGGGACCACGCCGCTGGATCGATCCTGTTCGGCCCTGATAAGGGCGGCGATCCAGGGGAGTCCAGGGCTCTATCTAGACGACCTTCTGTCTTCACTGGTTAGCTTCAACATCTCTCCCCGAGCCCTCCAGCTCATCCCCTTTTATACCAAAACCCCCGCTGAGGGGTGGGGCCCCGGGGGATCCCAGCTCCGAGTCAGCCCCCCAGGCTGCCCGATGCGGACGTCGCTGGGAGCACCTTCCCGTGCACCGACATAGCCACGCCCACTGTGTTTCTTTCCCGTGTGATCCCATTGTATAACAGCCCCTCCATAACACCCCTACACATACATAAGTGTATACAGTAGGTCGTGGGTTCGATCCTGACCTTGACGCCTGTATATTTGGAGTCTGCATGTTCTCCCCGTAGTCGAGTGGATTTTTCTCCGGGTCCTCCGGTTTTTACCTCCACATTTAGAATCAACATTCGTTTAGAGTATTTGGCTGCAATACATTTCCACATCTTCTTGGTTCTTTCGGTAAAGTCACATAGAAGGGAAGTAATAAAATAATAAAAGTAAAAATAATAAAATAATTCTCACGACGTTTCGGCTGCAACGCAAGCAGCCGTCTTCAGGTGAAGAATGAGACACTGCCAAGCTTGGAGCTTATATATAAGCTGGGTTGGAGGTGGAAGAAGAGCGCCTTGACAAAAAAATGTGCATATCAAGAGGAATTTAGCATATTCATGGGAAATACGTAGGAGGTGGGCAGGGGGGTTTCAAAGTCATATTATGCCCATGCATTATGCAGGATTAGCAGCATCAAAGGGAGGGGGTAGGGGTAGCATTAACAAAGGGAGGGAATGTTAATAGTATGTAGAAGCCACGAAACATGTCAATGGGAGAGCGGTGGCAGGAGACCCGCAGCGGAGCAAATAATGCATTCCCTGTGGAGAACACAATATACACAGTCAATGCCTGTGAGTGGACTGCGGTCTGAAAGTCACCGTAAACGTGAACAACAATCAGTTAAGATCCGAAATGGTTTATTACGTCCTTCCAATGATTGCTGAGCTAGAATCCATCTTCTCGGTTGAAATTTTCTCTGTGTTTGTATATGTGGATCGCCTCATGAACGAATCTCTCATGGTAGCCAGATGGCTTGCAGAGAACCTCTGTCTTAGAGAAGTCAATGTCATGTGAGCCCACTGAATTGTAACAGTGATCTGCCATGGCTGAGGTGTTTGTCCTACCGTGTTTCAGGTCTCACTGGCATTGACTGTGTATCTTGTGTTCTCCACAGGGAATGCATTATTTGCTCCGCTGCGGGTCTCCTACCACCGCTATCCCATTGACATGTTTCATTGCTTCTACATACTATTAACATCCCCTCCCTTTGTTAATGCTACCCCCTCCCTTTGATGCTGCTAATCCTGCATAATGCATGGGCATAATATGACTTTGAAACCCCCCCGCCCACCTCCTACGCATTTCCATGAATATGCTAAATTCCTCTTGATATGCAAATTATTTTGTCAAGGCGCTCTTCTTCCACCTTCAACCCAGCTTATATATAAGCTCCAAGCTTGGTAGTGTCTCATTCTTCACCTGAAGACGGCTGCTTGCGTTGCAGCCGAAACGTCGTGAGAATTATTTTATTATGTTTTATTTTTTTATTTTATTACTTCCCTTCTACGTAACTTTACCGAAAGAACCAACAAGATGAATCCCTGCAGTCACGAAAGCTTTAAATCGAAATTTCCACATGATAAGCCACTTCTTTGAGCTATCACCTGTGGCCAGGTCGCTTATGAAAAAGAGCTATATAGCTCAGTAGGCCTTACCTGGTAAAATAAAAATAGTAAATCGTTTTGTATGCATGTTGAACTTCTTTGGCACCGTACGTAGCCAACCGTGCGAGGGACGTCGCATCCTCCCTGGCGTCTCACCTGGCTGCACCGTCGCTGCTGTAGAACGTTGGGCGCGGGGAGAGGCGAGGGGCGACAGGCAGGGGCTCGTGACCGAGAAACGCGCTTCTCTGGTTGTGCGTGTTCTGAAGAGGCGGAGCTGAAACGTGCCGCGCGTCCTCCTGCAAGAAGCGTTGCGATCACAAGAGCTCAGGGGGTGCGGGGGTGCAATGCAAAGGCGAAATTTAAAACGCGAAGGGATCCAGTAAGTAGATTGATGGCTGAAGTGAATAGTTATGACTGTAGTCAGCAAACATGCAAAATATGAAGACTGCTTCAATGAATTGCAGGTTGCTCCAGTTAGCTTAGTAAATCCACTAGATTTACTGTTACGTCTCATCCACACTGTGTTCAATCACCGTGCTGCAGGTCACAGCAACACATTCACCCATCCACTCACTCACCCACTCACCCACACAAGACAAATATCCCCCTTTTAACCTTAACAGACTTTTGGGGCAAGTGCTGTTCGCGAATAGCGCCTATGAAGGCTGGCACGACACACAAAGGGGTAGGTGGCCAATACCACGCCCGGCCACCTTTGTCTCCCCAGTGGCAATATTTACTACACACTGCACCAGGTACTCAGTGAGTCGAACCTAGGGGAGGCCCAGGGCTGGTTCAGATAATCGTTACTGGTGCTGGCTGTGAGTGGGAATCGAACTCGGGTTGCCAAGCTCGTGGCACAGCGTGCTAACCAGGACACTACGGCTACCCACATACAAACACACACATAAAATCCTGTTAGTATCCTCCAGAAAATACACACACCTTTGGTAGGATGTAGGACTGGTTTGAGCTCCTTTGACCACACGGCCCCTTGTCAACACAACCTATAATAAAATATAAGCAGAAATTAGCTGTCAATCAAGACTTATAAGTGGTAACACTGGTGAACAGTTCAAAATTTTATTTATACGGTTACATAAATAACCCAACAAAACCTTAATTTCGTTTATTTGCCATGATTTGCAATGGCAGCGTTATAACTGTGCCGTGTATCCGAACCACACGGGGAAGAAATTGTGGTTGACATAGAAGTTTACCTTATACTTTCAGCGTATAACTCATGAACATTGTTATTTCATCAAATTCAAGTCTCTCCACCGACCCCTGCTGATTGTAGTGATAATGTAATAAAGGACTCCTTCACAAGATGTCGCTCTCCGTTGGTCCTTTATTGGATTCTTTCCTCGCACCCGCTGGTCCTTGCTCCGACCCTCGCCGTCTTCGTCGACGTGCGCCCCGCGCACGCTCCGTGTGGCTCTCGCCCCGCCGTCTCCATCGGCCCCTCCGTGTGCTCTCTCCTCACCCGCCCCTGGCCACACCGCCCTTCGGGTACCCCGCACACTCTGCTGACTCTCTCTATCTCCGTGCGATCCCGCACGCTCCGCTGGCCTGGCCGCACCCCGCGCCCGCTGGACCGCAGTGCGCCTATGACTCCCGACCACGTGGCAATGGCGCCACTTCTCCCAGTGTGGCTCCCTCCATGGTTCACTCTCTTCTCTCCTCCTCTCCCCTTCCGGCTCTCTCCCTATATCCCCCTCTCTCACGTGACCCAAACTCCACCTTCTATCCTGCCTCCGCCTCCGCCCCCCCCCCCCCCCCCGTTCACCCCGCTCCCATTGGCGGCGCAGAGGCCAGCAAGCACCCTGTTCTTGCTCGCATTACACGACCCCCCCCCCCCTGATGAAAAAGCCAGCCGTCCTCGGCTGCAACAGAACAACAATAATGCGAGCAACACATGACACTCAGGCATAAGAAGACAACGGAGATTAGAACAATAACAATTAACGAAAGGGAAGGGATTTAGAACGCGTGCGAGTCGCTGGGCTGTCCCACACGGGGGTGCCCCCCCGCGCGGACCGTGGCCTTGACGGGGTTTTAGGAACGGCGGGACTGGAACTGCCCACCGCTGTTGGAGGCCCATCACTCCCAGCGTCCCATTCCCCAAAGAGGCCCGTCATCGAGCCCTCCCGCAACTGCGCCCGAGGTGGGGTTGTAGGGGCAGCGGGGTCAATTGTCCCCGTCGCCGTGGTAGGCCCACCCGGAGCAGGAATCAGCATGTCCGGCAGGATCACAGCCGGTCCGTCTACAGGAGGCACGACAGGCGCGCTTGCAGGTTGAACAGGCAAAGTCAGTGGCGCGTCGGTCGCGACAGACACCGGCAAGGCAACATTAGGAGATGACGCATCCATCCACGGGGCCACATAAGGTTTCAATCGGGACGTATGAACGTACCAACGCCGCGATCCGAACCGAACACGCGCGGACTGCGGACTAGGAACCTCAATAAGCACCACCGGCCCCTGCCACAGCCTATGCAACTTAGGGGAGGTCCCCACCGGTACCTGCGGGCAGTGCAGCCAGGCCATGCCCCCCACCAGCGAGGGGTCTCACCATACGAGCGTCGTGCACAACGTTCGTTCCGGACCTGGGTCTTGGCAGTAGCCAATCGGGCCCCCTCCCGCGCCTCAGCCACGCGACGAACGGTGTCCCGAATATAATCGGGGAGAGGCTTAACAGGACCCTTCACCCCCGTGCCCAGCTGCACGTCCACCGGCGGCACGTTCTCGCGGCCATACATCAAAAAGAAAGGCGAGTACCCCGTCGACGCATGTGGCGTCATCCGGTACGCAGAGAGCACCCCAGGGATATGCAAATCCCAATCAGCCTGCTTTTCGCTTACCGTATGACAGAGCATTGCCGATAGGGTCCGATTAAGACGTTCAACCATCCCATCCGTCTGCGGATGGTAGGGAGACGTCCGTACCTTCTTGGTCCCCAGTGCAGCGCATACCTCAGCCAATAATTTAGAAGAAAAATTTCGCCCTTGGTCCGTAAGCAACCTTTCCGGTGCCCCTTTGTCCATTACATATCCGAACAAGAACGCCTCCGTGATAGACGCCGCTGACTGATCGGCTAAGGGCCAGGCCATCGGCCAGTGGGAAAGATATTCCACTCCAACCAATAAAAATTTGTTATCCCGAGCGGACGGCGGAAAGGGTCCCAAAATATCCAACGCCACTAATTCATTAATCCGTGACACCTGTATGGACTGCACTGGCGGAACATATGAGTGTTTAGGCGGTTTCCGTCGGGCACAGTCGGAGCACGCCCGAATGTGCCCGACGACATCAGTCATCATGCCGTGCCAAAAAATTATCCCGCTGTGACGTCAACAAGGTTTTCTGCACTCCAAGATGTAACAACTTCTCCGAATGCAGAATCCGAATCAATTCATATCGCAGCGACACCGGCACAACAAGACGCCAGCGATCGTGCAAGCCTTCCCTCCACATCAACAAGCCATCCCAGAGAGCAGCTCCCGGCGTCCCATCGGACAGCGAGCCACCCCTTACCTTCGCAGCCCGACCCCGCAAAGCCCCCAGCAAGTCATCAAGCAATTGCTCGCGGACCCATACCGAACGTGGCAAATTCAAAACCCTATCAGCCGGCTCTGGACATGCGGGAGCCTCAGGCACCTCCACAGCGGACATAACCAGCCGAGGTGGCAGCGGAACCCGCTTGCACCTATTTGTGCCCGAAGTGCAAGCGCAAGGGGACCCCTGCGGCAATCTAGAAAGTGCGTCCGCGTTCGTGTGATGCGATCCCTTCCGGTACTGAATTTCAAATGAAAACTCCTGCAGGGTTTCCAACCATCGTGCCAAATGGCCAGACGGTTGATCAACCCTCAGGGCATATTGCAGAGCAGCATGATCCGTGCGCACAATAAACGTACGGCCGTATAGATACGGCCGGTATTGGCGAAGAAAATGTACTATGGCCAAGAGTTCCCGACGAGTAACGCAGTAGCGGGTCTCCGCCGGAGACAGCACGCGGCTTCCGTAAGCCACTACGTGTTCGACGCCATCCCTAGATTGGGACAGGACGGCCCCAATCCCCGTGTCACTCGCGTCGGTATCCAGGATAAATGGCCGAGTAAAATCTGGATAGTCTAGCGTCGGTGCTGAAACCAAACGATCGCGTAGGCTCTGAAATGCCACCTCCTCCGCCGGTCCCCAACTGAACCTCCGGCCCTTTGCCGTAAGGAGGTGTAATGGCCTCGCGATCGTGGCAAAGTCAGGTACGAACCTGCGGTAATAAGAAGCGAACCCGACGAACCGACGCACGTCCCCCACTGAGGCCGGAGTCGGCCAGTTTCGGACGCACGCCGTCTTCTCCGGGTCCGTGGCCACCCCGTCCGAGCTGACTATGTGGCCCAAATAGCGCACGGATCGCTGCAACAGGTGACACTTTTTAGGCTTAAACTTCAATTTAGCGGAACGCATCCTCGCAAACACCGCGTCCAATCTCTGCAGATATTCCTCAAACGTGCGGCTGAAGATGATAACTTCGTCCAAATATATCAGACATGTGTCCCACTGCAGACCGGTCAACACGAGTTCCATCAATCGCTGGAACGTCGCTGGGGGGGCGTTCAAGCCCATGGGGAGACAATTAAATTGAAACAAGCCCTGCAGCGTACGGAAAGCCGTCTTTTCCCTCGAGGACTCATCTAGGGGAAGTTGCCAAAATCCCGATGAAAGATCGAGAGTAGAACATTTTTTTGCCCCAGACAAGGCATCGAGGGAATCATCCATACGCGGCAGGGGGTACGCGTTCGCAACCGACACTTTATTCAACCTGCGAAAATCGACACAAAACCGCAATTTCCCATCCTTTTTCTTCACAAGGACCACTGGAGCACCCCACGGACTGTTGGACGGGGAAATAATGTCGGCGGCCAGCATATCCTCCACCGCGCCCCGTATATGATCCCGCTCCGACGGACTCAACCGATGCGGGTTCATCCGAATCGGAGCGGCATCCCCCGTATCAATATGGTAGGAGAGCAGAGAAGTGCGTCCCAAATCGAAATCGTCCAAACTAAAAACGTCGGAATACTTTCCCAACAGCGTGCGAAGCGCGGACCGTTGGTCCCCAGTTAAGGACACATTCTCCCGGGACAATTCTGCAATCTAGCGATTGTCCTGTGCCGTGGAGGTCGAGACCCCCCCTATGAGGCCCCGGAGGCCCCCATCGTCATGGGCCGTGAAAGCAGTCATAGCATGAGCTAAAACCGTTCCGGCCGGCACACTAACATTATCTGCGGTCCCATTCAACACTTGTAAAAACGGGGGTTGACCCGGCCGAACAATCGTCTGCGCCCCGACCAGCGTCAAGCCCCCCGTTATAGCATTGGACGGTGACAACAACACACCTGCTGCCCCCTCGATTCCCGGCACCGGTTTCCGATAACGCAGCGGAATAAGCATTTGCGACCCAGGTGGAACATCAACCGATACCTTGGAGAGCGCCTGCACCTGGCGGTCAGGAACGGACTGGCCCCAGGGTGATGGCAAGAAGGCAATTTGGCGGCCCCCCAGTAATTGGATACAATTCTGATCCACCCTAATCTGAATGGGCATTTTTGCCAGGAAATCCGTTCCCAACAAGCAGGGCACCACGAGGGACCTAGAAATTAACACCGTCCCAGAAACCGAAACACCCCCAACCGCTATGCTGGCGTCCACCTGACCCACAATGCCCATACTTCCCCCATTCGCCGCTATGCACGAGTCGTAAACCGGTCGCACCCGCTCCGGAGGAATGGACAGGAGGTGAAATATAACGTCTGAGATAATGGTCGTGGACGCACCCAAGTCCACCAAAATACGCACGTCCACCCCTTGGATGGAACCCGGCACAGTGGATGACCCAGTAGCGGCCGCAACCACCCTCCGTGCCAATTTACGCCACTGCGTCAGCGAGCGACACGGCCCTTCCAGCGCTCCCCTGTTAGTAACATTATCCGGACCCCGCGGTGAAAGTGATGCATGAGGTGACAGGCCTTGCCGGGTGTCTGATGCGTACCGACTTGCCTGTCGTGGTTGTTCTTGACGTGTCGCCTTCTTGGCAGGGGCCTCCTGCTGGAGCGGCGGGCGAGGGCGAGCCCAACACTCCCTGGCGAAGTGCCCCCGACGGCCGCAGCGGAAGCACAACAGGTCGGGCCGTCGTCCGGCGCCCCCCCTGTCCTGGCGATCTCGCAACGGTGGCCCCGGCCACAACTCCGCACCCCCGCGAGTAGGCGGCTGGGTCGCTGCTGCCGTCAACTCCGCAGGCCCCCTCTCGTCCCGCACGTACACGGCCTTGGACGGATCCCATCCCGTGGCACCACCCTCGATCTTGGGGCTCCCCGTCCAGGCTGTCACCTGCTTCCACCGGCGCAGGTTGAATTGCGCGTCCAGGCACTTAGCCGCTATCCGGGAGGTCAGTTGTTCGTGGCCGCACACAGGCATGGGGATGCCCAAATCCCTGGACAACTCCAACATTTTTCCTAAAATCAAAGGCTCCAGCAAGTCAGGCTCCGTGTCCGGGTACGCGGCCATAGCCAATTCCAAGACGGCACCCCGGTAAGCCACAGGAGATTCCTCCGGAGCCCGTTGCCGTTGAATAAACCTGCGATGTGCATCATCCGGGGGCTAATAAGCCTCTGCTATCTCTTCAAATACAGCCTTCAGCGTAGTCTTCCTCGCGGCTTTAATGGAACGGAAAAACCTGACCGATTCGTCATCCAGGAGCGTCGGCAGGACTTCTAGAGCCTCCGCATCCGTCCATTTGGCAGAGCGGACTGCCGCCTCAAAGCGGCAGGCGAACGCACTCCAGTCGCCGCCAATGGAGAATTCCTTGAGCGTCGTCAGACGATGGCTGCGGGTCCCTGAGTCGCCGTAATCCGCTGACGGTGTTCCACGTGGTGGCGACACGATAGCGTCTTCCCGCGTTGACAAGACGGCGGCTTCTCGCAGTGACAAGATGGCGGCTTCCCACGGTGACAAGATGGCGGCTTCCCGCGCTTTGTCCCCGGACCCGCCCAAGATGGCGGCGTCTTGCCACGTGGCGGAGAGGGCGGGAAGCGTCGCGCGGGCCCCAATCGCGGGCGATCCGGCCTCGCCGTCGTCGTCACCAGGGCACACAGTTGTGTCAGCGTGGCCCGTAGCAACTCGAGTTGAGCCGTCACGTGCCGCCAGCCTTCCTCGGCGCCTGTCGAAGCAGACAGCCCCGCTGCACCGACGATTTCTTGCACCCCGGCATGTCGCCCGTCCGCACTTCGCCCCCTCCTTCCATCGTCGGGAACGCCGCCGCTGTTGGAAGCTCGTTTTCGTCGTCCGAGGATGGTGCAGGTACGTTCTTATTTTTAAGATGCTTAGACATCTTGGTTCACTTCTGACACCAGTGTAATAAAGGACTCCTTCACAAGATGTCGCTCTCCGTTGGTCCTTTATTGGGTTCTTTCCTCGCACCCGCTGGTCCTCGCTCCGACTCACGCCGTCTCCGTCGGCCCCTCCGTGTGCTCTCTCCTCACCCGCCCCTGGCCACACCGCCCTTCGGGTACCCCACACACTCTGCTGACTCTCTCTATCTCCGTGCGATCCCGCACGCTCCGCTGGCCTGGCCGCACCCCGCGCCCGCTGGACCGCAGTGCGCCTATGACCCCCGACCACGTGGCAATGGCGCCACTTCTCCTTCCACCGCCAGCGTGGCTCCCTCCGTGGTTCACTCTCTTCTCTCCTCCTCTCCCCTTCCGGCTCTCGCCCTATATCCCCCTCTCTCACGTGACCCAAACTCCACCTTCTATCCTGCCTCCGCCTCCGCCCCCCCGTTCACCCCGCTCCCATTGGAGCGAGGTGAGCAGTGGCTCCTCCCACACGCTCCGCCTCCCAATACCCTGGCGCGTGTGAGCGGCGCGGAGGCCAGCAAGCACCCTGTTCTTGCTCGCATTACAATAATAACAGTGGAACTCACCTCATTTAGCAAAAGTCAATGAACAAAGGTAAGTCCTCGCTTAACGCGTGTTCACACAACGCATTTTCGCTATAACGTGGTTCTTCTATTCGGGAATACTTCGCAGAAAGTGCATTATAACGGATTGCATCTGTTATACTGCGGAAAGCACCCTGTTATGTGGTTTCTGAGCAGTTGATGACAAAATACTTTCTTGAGCTGCGCAGCTGAGCGGTGCGATACAGTATGTGGAATGATACAGTCACGCAGCTGCATACCCTCAGTTATTCCCACCATGTCATTTTGTGTGCATAGTACATCGTATTTTTCATAATAGAGGTTTTTGGGTTAGGTCGCGTAAATATATAAATAAGTCATTAAAACCCGCCACCACCCGGCACAGCCAACTAGTAAGGGTTGTCACGTAAACAGAACATGGCCAATTCGTCACTAGTACAGCACATCGGTGTGTTGGAGAGCCAAGCCACAACATTTACAATCTGAGTACGACGTTTCGCCAATAATTACAACTAGCTTCATCAGGCGACAGCCAGATTTGTGAAGTCTTACTGTTTCGTTCCTTATATAGAGGCGTAGATGTGTTGACCACCCTTCTGCGCTCTTGCACAATGGGGGGGGGGGGGGGGGGGTTATGGATGACATTGGTCGCGAAAGCCTACGTGTTATGCATCGTATTTCACCAACCTTCGTTACATTATTTATGGGGGAATTGTTTTCGCTCAACGTGTTTTTAGCTCAACGTGGCATTTTCAGGAATGCATCTACCACCGCCTTAAATGAGGACCGTACTGCACTGTGCCGACTCGCAACACGCCGCTGCCACCCACACTGCCCCTCTTCGGCGTTTCCGTAGCTCCCACGTCAGGAGCCACCCTGCCGGAGACAGGGGGTGAATGCGTGGCCCTCTGTGCCTGCACGTCATTGGCCAGACTGTACAAGTTCAGATTTGGCACAGACATGACGTGCGGCATTCCACCGAGGGAGCGTACACCCTCCGGCGGCCTCGTGTGGGCTGGGCCTGTTGGAGGCAGGGTACTATAATCGACGCTACAGGACCAATCCAGGTCACCTTGGCTGTACAATTTGGGCGGTGCATGGGCCACGCTGGAAAGGTTGCCCGCCTTGTCACCTTTCCCTGGTGGGCACGGCGCTTCCACTGATTGGTACAGCCCTCGATCGGACAGGTGGATGATCTCCATAACGCCTGTAAAACGAAGCGCACAGAAACACCGCACACACCACACCGCATCTGCTTTCGGCATACATCCTTTCCTGTTTACGCGCTGGTGAAATAATCACCCTCAAACCATTCTAATATTTCCAACTTGATCTGACTATGAACGATTTAATAAAAAATTATCTAAGCCAACTTTGATTGGAGTAATTTTGTATTTTTTACCGAGTTATGTATGTACACAGTTTTTCGATTTCTTCTGTAAAGTGGTTGTTTTTGCTTCAATTTATATCTTGTTATTTTGCTCCGATTTCTATTTGCTTTGTGTTCTTGTTTTAATGTTTTTACGTTTTTGTAATGGTGGCCCAGGCCACTCCTGCCAATGAGACTCTATCCTGGGCTCTTGAGTTTTCACCTCGCTGATCTCGTCAATGAACATAAACCATCACGCGATCTCCGGCCATCTTCGAAGCAGCGGCTTTTGGCTAGCCATCAGACAAAGACAGTCACTGCATCACATGTTGTGAAACTCCCTTCCTGCGGGTATCGAGGTGCCATATCCTCATTTGCCAGGGGAAAGGTGGCCATCTATTACATCTGTATTGCATGGAGTGTTGCCCCGTCGTATGCATGGGTTTTCTCTGGGTCCTCCGGTTTCCTCCCACATTAATGGAGCTCGCCAAACATCTCAATATAGGACCGCAGAGCTCGGGCAATTGTTGGCGCCAGTTCTGGCTGCTACCTTCCCAAGTGCTCATCTGTCCTTTCCCGCGCCTCTGAATTCTACAAAAACTATGCGCGATATAAATTTGTAAATTTCATTTTTGGGGAAGCCTTTATCATCCAGTAGTGGATTAATAATGGTTGATGATGATGATGCTGCTGATACATGTTTAAGGCTGGGGTCGGAGCTTTGGCTAAGCTGTATCCATTTACACAGCCACTGCTGGAGTGTTGACATTGTAGAGTTATTTTGCCCTCTTACCTCTGTGCTTTCCAATAGCAGCTGCTTTGATGTGTCTGGAGGTGTACGTATGCAAGTTGGTTAGCTTACCAGCCTGTGAAGATGTGTCCTTCTGTCGCTCTGCGATGCTTTTCCGTAGCTGCTGTAGATTTTTCTAGTGAGAAGGAACAGGAAGCACATGATAATTGTGCGGTAGTTGTTTTTGTAATACTTCAAGCAGTCTTATTTTACATTCAATATCTCCCCATATTTCACGTGTGCATGTATGTTGAACTTATTTCACACCGTACATAGCCAACCGTGCTAATCAGAGGTGCGGGGGGAAGGACAACAAACTAAACATAAAAATATATTCTAATGAAGCGAGTTTTAAATTTAGATTGAAAAGTTAATAGTTCCAGTGTCTTCCTAATATTGGCAGGAAAAGCTTTCCAGACTGCTGCAGAAGCTCATCTGAATCTACTGTGCTTATTTTAACAATTGTCCCCCTTACTCTGCCTCTGCGGTGCTGACATATAGATTAAGGACTTGCCTGAGAAAAGGATCCGCCAAATAGCGGTAAAGAGAGCGGTTCGCAGTCAGTCACAAGGTTGGGAGATCAATTCCCGGTTGTTGGAAGTTCACTCAGCCCATCATCCCTCCGGTGTCTATAAAATAGTACTACCATTCACTATGGTAAAGTCGATAGTAAGCGTTCTATGGATGGACTTTTCCCCCCTCTAAACGTACAAAAAATGCAATTTACACCACCAGCTCATGGCTGTGAACAGGAAAACGAGCGGCGCCTCAATGCTGGAGCGAGCAGGAAATTGCTTCGACTTGACTATTCGAGTCCCTGCTTCAGGCAATTGACTTGACGATTCAAGTGCCTGGACCGCCTCCGCACCTCCGATTACCACGTTTGACTGCGTACTGTGCAAAAGAAAGTCAACACACATACATACAGTACATGCTTGCTCCAGTTTGCCAGCAACACGGAACACCGTGACAAACCGAGCCCTGGTAATGACCGCCGAGCTTACCGCTTTAATCTGCATGGATTCGGCCTGCTGCTCGTGATGCTGCTGCCAGGTCTTGAAGTTGGACACGGCCTGGTCGATGGAGATGTGTCCGAGCTTCACCTGCTGCTGCAGCTGGATGAGCTCCTGGAGCCCAGGCAGCAATTCCTGCTTGGCCTGATCTCCGGCGTCCCCAGTAGAACGCCGACGAGCGTCCTCCTCGGTCTTGCCTAGGGCACAGGAGAGCCACGACACTGATGCACTTAGCCGCCACGCGCAAGGTGATTGTTGAATGAACGCTTCAGCAACACCAATGCACCTTAACATCGCATCTCGTCTCAAAACATTCGAAGGTGACCAGCTTGATTCCCCGTGGAAGCTGTCCCTGAACATTTCTGCATGAACGAACATATAGAGATATGGCCTGGAATAATGCAAACACATCAAACAACCTCCCTGATTGAATTACCTATAGAACGCTAAGAAATAGACGTACTCGCCTCGTAAGAAATGTTACATTTTAATCCTATTATCAAAATATTCTAAATTTACAAAAATAAATCAAGACTTCTGGGAAACATTTAATTCAGTTGAAAACAAAGGAAAGCAAAATGTTTCACCAAAAAAACCTTTCCTGGATGCCAAAGCACTGATCACAAAACAAGACATTGTCAATAGGTATAATTCTCATTGTGGATCAACCCTGAAAATGTTAGTGAAAGGCATCGTTCCTGCTTCTTATTTAGTCTCATATCTGAAGTGTACATACTGCATAAGCGAATATCCATTAAGACATCATCATCCACATGAGAAGACGAGTTACCTGCATTTTTACTCATGGCTGTAACAGATCTCAACTTTAAACCTCACACATACATGTTCAACCTATCACTTACCGAAGGTACATTTCTACAAGAGTGGAAATCCACTCGTTCATCCAGTATATAAAAATGGATCCAAAGAAGATCCGAATAACACTGATCTACAATTTTTTAGACGTTGTCTGCTTCAGAGATGAAATGTGCTGTTTATTATGGATTTTGATGTGATGAATTCAAATATGACAATTAACACAACTGATTGGCTACTGTTCCCAAGATATTTACTTTTTACATTTTACGTATATATAATGTGCAGATAGTAAAGTGTTACTCATAAATTGTAAACCTATGTCTTTTCATTGGTTTATGGTTGCTTTAAATGATAACATGTCACCTGTCCTGTTTATGTAACACTTTAAAAATCAACAGAAAGGTTATATAAATAAAATGTATTGTAAAGGAGAGCCGACACAAGGTTGCAGGGGGTTCGTCTTTTATTGCTTCCCCCCGGCCCAGCCTTCTCTCCCCGTTTCCCGCCAGTTCTCCCTCTTATATCTCCTCACCTGCTCCTCCCCTTTCCACTGTCACCGTCCCACTGTCCCCCTCCTTTTGGTGGGAATCCTTCCCCTGAGATCCCTTACAGTATTATGAAACAAAAGGCAAAAAAATTACATATATAAGTACATAGTTGAGTCCTTATTCAGTGTGTACTCGGCGTTTCTTGGCTTATCTCTTGTAACCATTAAATTGAGCATCTCTTGTCACTGTCCAGCAATAGTCTGCAAGCATTGATGGGCTCCATTTGCCGTGATAGCGTTTCTCCATTGTTGCAATGTCCTGGTGAAATTGCTCGCCTTCCTCGTGGCTCACTGCTCCGCAGTTTGGTGGGGAAAATCTAGATGAAAGTGCAAAAAAATTTTCTTTAGCGACATGTTTCAACCAAGGCTTTTGTTAGCCTTGAGGAGGGTTTCCACCAACTCCCTGTAGTTGTCTGCCCTTGTCTGCCCTTGTTGTGTCCTTCCATAAGGTCGGGCGTAGAGTGGCAGTCTGGATGGCGTCCGTCTCAAATTTCTCCATGAAGATGTTGGCTACAACCGGAGATAGGGGAGAGCCCATTGGGGTGCCCTCAATTTGCTTGTAGAAGGTTCCATTCCAGGTGAAGTATGTATTGGTTAAGCAGTGTCTCACCAGGGGGGGTACCCCAGCATTCAGTCCTTGATGAACCAAGTCTTCAATGATTGCGATGGTGTCAGGCACAGGCACCTTGGTGAACAAGGAAACCACATCAAAACTGACAAGCAGGTCGTCTGGGGACAGGGCAATCCCCTTGATTGTCGATACCAGGTCAGTAGAGTTTAGTACTGCAGAGGTGGTTTTTCCAGTGAAAGGCCGTAGGATTTCGGACAAAAAACGAGCCAGTTTGTAAGTGGGGGAGTTGATAGTAGAGACAATGGGACGAAGAGGTGTATCTTCTTTATGTATCTTTGGCAAGCCGTACAATCTTGGTGGCCTGGCTGCAGAAGGTTTCAACGAGAACTGTTTGGTCTGATCAATTAATGCGGTTGAAGCAGAAATGATGTTGTTGGTTTTGGAGACAAGGCTGTTGGTGGGGTCTCTTTTTATTTTTGTATAGCTGCCATCGTTGAGTAGTTCTTGAATTTTGTTGTTGTATTCTATTTTGTCCATGATGACAGTGGCATTGCCTTTGTCGGCTGAGAGGATGACAATGTCATCCCTCTTTTTTAATTGAGCTAATTCAAAACGCTCATCTTTGCTGATGTTGCTAGCTGGCATGTGAGCCCACTGAATTGTAACAGATCACTGTTACAATTCAGTGGGCTCACATGACATTGACTTCTCCAAGACAGAGGTTCTCTGCAAGCCATCTGGCTATCATGAGAGATTCGTTCATGAGGCGATCCACATATACAAACACAGAGACAATTTCAACCGAGAAGATGGATTCTGGCTTAGCAATCATTGGAAGGACGTAATAAACCATTTCGGATCTTAACTGATTGTGTTCACGTTTACGGTGACTTTCAGACCACGTTCCACTCACTGGCATGGTGCAGTGTGCAGAGTAATGTATGGTGTCGTAATTGTACAGTAAACATATAGCAGTATGATACACATTAGGGTGGGTAGAATAATACATAGTGTTATATTAAAATGGATAAGGCAGCAAGTGCAGCAGCAGCAGCAAGTGCAGCAGCAGCAGCAAGTGCAGCAGCAGCAGCAAGTGCAGCAGCAGCAGCAAGTGCAGCAGCAGCAGCAACTGCAGCAGCAGCAGCAACTGCAGCAGCAGCAGAAACTGCAGCAGCAGCAGCAACTGCTGCAGCAGCAGTAACTGCAGCTCCCTTTGATGCTGTTAATCCTGCATAATGCACATGCATATGCAGTACTAATCACATTCCTGCATTTCCCATAAATATGCTAAATTCCTTTTGATATGCAAATTCCTTTGTCAATGCGCCCAGCTTATATATATGCTCCAAGCTCGTGTGCTGTTTCATTCAGACTCTGTCGCCTCGACGGACCTGGTTTTCACCTGAGGACGGCTGTTTGCGTTGTGGCCGAAACGTCGTGAGAATTGTTTTATTATGTTTTATTTTTATTATTTTATTACTTCCCTTCTACGTGACTTTACCGAAAGAACCAAGAAGATGAATCCCTGCAGTCACGAAAGCTTTAAATCGAAATATAGCAGACGTTATCTGCCTTGTTCATACAAGTACGAGGCATCTCTGCTCACTTTGGCTAAACAGAAATGTGTCCTTTTGCAAAATCAAACACTGACAAATAAGAGAGCACAGCACTACATGATTTCTAGAGCTGATATAGGGCAATTTGTTCAGCAGAAGGATGTAAGCTTAGTTATGATTGCATCATCCATGACTTCTAGGAATAACATGATGCAATTCATATCATGTATAACGCAATACCAGGTTCGGATTGGATCATTCATTGTTTTGCTCAAAAAGGAAGTACTAACCAAACCCAGTCATATATTTATTCATAGATCCAGTCAAATATGTATTTTAGTCATTTCTGGTTTAAATTAAGATATCTTCCCTTTATAACTCACTTATCCTCTGCTATTCCCGAGTCAAGGGTCGTATATACTGACCCAGTAGCATAGCTTAAAACTAGAGCCAATCAACACTTTTAAGCATCATTTTAATTCTCAGTGACCCTGAATTAGTAAAGTTGGACTACATTTATTTCGGAAACATTTTGGCTGCACACCAGTGTAATTAGAGACAAATCTCTATTCTTTCATCATTTAAAAAAATATTCGAAAAAATACTTAATTCACAAATAAACTGCTACCTAAAAAGTCATAATCTTCTACACAATAAACCGTTTTCAAGAGGAGTACTGCACCACCCACAACAATGATGGATGTATTACACTGTCTCTTCACTTCAGTAACCTGGATAAAGGCCACTACTTCTGTACACTATTCCTCAACTTCTCAAAATACTTTGATACTGTTGGCCATGATATTTTACTCACAAAACTTGGTCAACTAACATTTTCAGACAATACAATAAACTTGTTTAAGAGATACCATTCAGACCGTTCTCAAAATGTACAAAATGATAATATCTCGTCCAAAAATATTAAAATAACAAAGGGCGTTCCACAAGTTTCCGTGCTAGGTTCAATTATGTTCTTATATATAAACAATCTTGTACTAAACTTAAATCACTCAGAATTAAATCTCTGTGCAGATGACACTGTCATGCTAGTATCGGGTAAATCTCCAAAGTCAAACAATACCCAACATGATTTCGACTTCACTCAATACAATTGTCATCACTAAATTGCTCCTAAACCCCCCCAAAAAACGAATATGCTCTTTCCTTCAAGCAAAAATGCACTCTTTGACAGCTGTGACCCTTATAAATCAGCTACTTATGAATACTAAACAGACTAAACCCGCGTTATCGTTCTGCTCTTCGATTAGCACTGGATGTACCTCACAGGACCCACCATTGTGACCTCTACTTAAAATCCAATCTCACATCACTTGATGCAAGACGAAATCTACAGTACATTAGGCCCTGTTCATCCATAACATCCTTATTAGCAAATCTGCGCAATACTTAGCTCATTTATTTGTCAAACCCAAGAAACCTAAGACGTCCCTAAATAGCAATTTGACTTTTATAGATCGGATCTCTGAGCTGGGCTCCGCAGCTCAGGGTCGCTGCCTTCGGGCAAGTAAAAAATGTGTGGTTTACAAATTATCATTATTATTCATAGGTGACAAAGCCTTTACCGTTGGAGCACCAACATTTTGGAACAACCTTATTTCCTCCCTTAACATCGTAAATCTTCCTTTAAAAAATATCCTGAAGCAGAAGATTAGTACTGTACACAACCACATTTGCAAATGTGATTTGTAACTTTCAACTTCCCCCGTGTATTGATAGTTACATTTTAATGTTCGGTTTTATTGAGGGACTACTGTGTGTTATCTTGGTGTGGTGTGGACTCGTTTTTGTTGTTTTATTGATTTGCCCAAGCATACATTTAGTATTGAAAAATCGGCAGGAATTCATGTACTTATACAATGTATGCTTATATACTTTATTTATTTCTATTTATTTATGTTTAGTGCAAGGGTCGGCAACTAAAATAGAAAGAAGAGCCTTTTTTTTTCTAAATCAGTAAAAACCTCAATGTTCCAAGAGCCGCAATGCAGACCCGCAATGCATGTGAATACGAAACGTCCTTAATAAATAACGTCATGGAGCAGACCTTCATGAGCCGCAGGCTGCTGACCCCTGCCCATGGTAAATTGGACTTCCATGGTGAACTGGACTTCCATGTTGAACTGGACTTCCATGGTGAACTAAACTTCCATGGTGAGCTGGACTTGCATAGTCAACTGGACTTCCATGGTGAACTGGACTTCCATGGTGAACTAGACTTCCATGGTGAGCTGGACTTGCATAGTCAACTGGACTTCCATGGTGAACTGGACTTCCATGGTGAACTGGACTTCCATGTTGAACTGGACTTCCGTGGTGAACTAAACTTCCATGGTGAGCTGGACTTGCATGGTGAACTAGACTTCCATGGTGAGCTGGACTTGCATTGTCAACTGGACTTCCATGGTGAACTGGACTTCCATGGTGAACTGGACTTCCATGGTGAACTGGATTTCCATGGCTAACTGGACTTCCATGGTGAACTGGACTTTCATGGTCAGGGGTCGGCAACCAAAATAACAAGAGCCATTTTTTTTCGAATTCGGGAAAAAAAACTCAATATTTCAAGAGTCGCAATGCAGTCCTTCAAGAGCCGCATGTGGCTCCGGAGCCGCAAGTTGCCAGGAGGGGGCGATGATTTGCTGCCGTGTGTAATGCCAATGGAATAACTCGTGGGTAACATTCAATATTTGCACCTTATGGCGGGACCCCGGGGTCACGAATAAACGTAAGTAAAAATCATAATGAATTTCTTCATTTTTGGCGACTCCGTCCCACTACGCACGTAAATGCCGCGACCCACCTGGCGCGAATCATTCTGTTGTCATGTCGTCCAAGCGCAGCGAGGACGAATGCGCAGAAGAGCTGAACAAGCGAATGCATTCCATACTCGGGTATGGGCAGGATCATAAGGCTAATTCAAAGCTGCTCAAACTGCCTACACTACTTAAGTGACTACTTAAGTCATTTATTTGTCATAACGGTATGCATAATACAGTGAAACTGCTCTCTTATCTTCATTATTATTTGTGATCTACCAATGTCTGCAGTCAGGATCAATCGATGACAATCCTATTACCTGCAGATATTTAACAGATGAGATGCATTGCGCCGTTAATTCCTCCTGTTTGATAATTCTTATCTTACTCTTTGGTTCTTTCGGTAAAGTCACGTAGGTAGAAAAATAATAATAGATCACGACGTTTCGATCGCCACACAAGCAACCGTCTTCAGGTGGAAGTGAGAAACAGGCTGCTGAAACAAGTCCTTATATATAGAGCCGAAGGGGGGGGGGGGTTGCCGCATCGGGCAAGAGGGTGGGGGCTGGAGCTTGTGCTGAGGTAGCCATTGTATTGTGAGAGAGTCGCATGTCAATGTGTAGTGACGGTATATCCGCCACTAGGTGGATAGAACACTGAACAGGGTGAAGGAAAGTCAGCGCTGAACAGGGTGAAGGAAAGGCGGGAAGATGATCGAGGGTCGAGTGTAATGACGGTATATCAGCCACTAGGGGGATAGAGTGTGCAGCAGGAGACACAGACAGAGACACAGAGAGAGAAACACACACAGAGAGACACATAGATAGAGAGACACACCTAGAGAGACACACAGAGACACACACAGAGACACACAGAGGGACACACCCAGAGAGACACACACAGAAAGACACACCCACACACACATATTTTTTTTGCGGTTAATCCATAGTCCCCACATACCGCTCGTATCAATACGGATAAGAGGAGCGGCGACCCACTACTCTGTAGAGTAACATTGGTGTAAACGCTTGTTACAATAGGAACAGTGCATTGAAAACGCGTACTATTTTATGTACTGCTTACAAAGTGTGTTCACAAATCCACACTGAGAAACATGATGATTGACAGAGGGGTATAAATTATCTTTTTTGATAGTGTATTTAAATAGAGGTACTGCAGGTAAGTAGTTTTCAGTTTTAAAGTCATAGTTTAACAAGACAACACTTGCCACCATCCTTCAAACCCATTGGTGAAAAAGAGCAAAGTTTTTGTTAACATTATAATATATTGTTTATGCGAGAGCCGGGGGCTTATGGGACCCCGGGGTTCTGCCATAAGGTTCAATTTACAAATTTGGACCATGACGCCGGCACATATAATGGCTGCATCTTTTGTAATGTCGTTGCACGAACATCCACTATGAAGCAGACAACGCGTATTGTATGGTTAATACATCTGCCATATCATGAACAAAGTGCTTGTTTGTGTATTCATCATCTATCCACTGCTGAATGAAGTCCTCCCAAAGCTATCACGCAACTCTTATTGTCTCACGATGCAACAATCCATTTAGCTGCTGCACACGAGCTGATTTCATCGCTCTGTGGCGCACGTCCTCCTTCAGTTGCCACTGTCATTAGTCTCAACCACCAGCTGTCACCAACTGACGTGTGCTTTCTGATAAACGCGTTCCTCCCTCTCTCTCGGTGTAATCCCAAGCATGTGCCTCTCCACGCTTCTTTGCGCACTTTTTACGCAGTGCACGTTTCACCAAATTAATTTTTTTATTCCGCATTCACATATCACAAAAAAAGAACGTGAGAGCATTTTTGCAGAATGCAATTCTAAGTGTGCACGAGTCACCACCAGGAGTGTCCGCACTCCTATCGTATTTGTGTACTGTTCGTTGTTGTGACCTTCTGACCCGCCTCCTACTTTGGACATCTTGTTAAAAAAAGAGCTTCATAGCTCATAGGATTCCTCCGATAGAAATAAAGACACTGATTCTGAATTGTACGTCTGCGTATGAGTTGCACTGCCGCCCGTTTTATTTGGTAGGCAAGACACATTGCGCAGCTCTCGCGCCACGAGCCGGAGGCGTGCCTGTCCCAACGTGTACGATGGACCCCAGGTGCCCTCGTCTCAGCATCAGAATCAGTATTTAGACTGCAGGAGGAGGAATCTGATGAACCACGAAGCTCTTTTTCACAGATACCCAGTATGGGCGGGTCAGCAACTTACAATAAACAATACAATAAACGATAGGAGTGCAAAATAGTGAAAATGGTAAGCAAGTCACTAAATATGAATGCATAATGCATTCATTATATAAGTCCGACTTATCAAGCTAGGACAAGGAAGGAAAAACAACAACAAAACAGTCCCAGACCACACCAACACAACACCACACAGTAGTCCCTGAATTAAATGGCACATTAACATTGAGCTATGGATACATGTGTAGAGGAGTACTGTGAGTAGCCAATGAGGGATGAGCGTAAGGAAGTGCGATTTGGTGGAGAGTTATGCGAGGCCAAGGATGACATAACGTCACGGGTTACGTAGGGGGACTTTCGGAAAGCACTTTCGGGAAAGTGTGCGGGGCCGAGCTGGGGAGAGGAGCTGCCAAGTGGGTTCTTAAGGGGGACCACGTGACGGACACGTGGTCGTCATCGGGGAGGCAGGGTAAGGATCGGCTGGAAGAGATCTCTCTCCTCGTTGCAGACGGGTGAGAGAGCCTAGGGGTACCCGAAGTAGGCCCGACGTATATAGTTATCCCAGGTCCAAGTGAAGGACGGAGAATAGAGTGCACCTACACTGGTGTGAGTGTAGGATGCAGTGTGAAAACGTTAAGTAATAAACGGCAACCAGCCCTTACAGTATTCCTTGTCTCCGCGTGGTTGGTTTGCACTACACATGGGTTAAAAGTTACAAATCACACTGGCAAATGTGACTACTGTATCCAGCGCTAATCTTCTGCTTCAGGATATTTTTTTAAGGAAGATGTATGACGTTCATGTTAATTTGTAAATTGCGCTCCCAGCCTCGTACCACGAGATTAAGAATCCATTCGGAGCTCTTGCACGGGTGGTTAGCGAACTCCGCACGAGTTGCCATTATATTTCTGTGTTACCTGCCGGTGTTACTACTTGTTGAGTGGTGCATCACTGGAAAGTTGTTTTACTACGCCGCTGCGACTTTCCTTTTCTTCACCATGGTTCTCCGTGGGTCGTTCTTGTAAAACAGCAGATGGCTAAATGTTTATTCCTGTGTCAACAAATAAAATATAATCTCACAGGGCAGTGCATCATTGTCCCATATGAAAGAATGGACCTGCAGAAGGAGATATCGCAAACTTCAATTGAATCTGTCTGAATTTTTGTTTATTTCAGCGGGTCAGGCCCACTGAGCTATATATCTTTTTTTCAGTAGCGACCTGACCACAAATGATAGTTCAACGAAGTGGCTTATCATGTGATAATATATAGCAGCCAAATACTCTAAACGCGTGTTTCTAAATGTGGAGGGAAAAACCGGAAGACCCGGAGAAAAAAAAACACCCGACCATGGGGAGAACATGCAAACTACAAATATATGGGCGTCAGGGTCGGCATCGAAACCACGACCTCCTGTATACCAGGCAAGGAAATTAACATCTCGCCACTGTGGCGCCCAGGAACGAAACCACACAAACGGAATCAACCCGATGATAGCGGGAATTTTTGTTGCACGGGGCCACAAATAACAATGCCGGCAGATAAAAGGAGTCTTTCCGAGCTGATGGTTTACCTTGCTGAGCGTACGCACCGGAGCCCGGTGGGCAGGGCGGCGGCGCCACTGCGTCGTGCTGGGCCGCGGGAGCCGCCACCGCCGCTGCTGATTTGGCGGGCATCTTGCCTGGTGGCCACACGTTGCTGTCACCCATCAACTCGTAGTCGTTCAGTTCCAGGACAATGTATGGATCCTTCTTCACGTGGCCATCTGCCAAGTCTCGTGCGCATTCACCGTGATCCCACACCCCTGGGATTTCCTGAGAAGAGACTGAATCCCCAGCAAATATGCGCGACGCTTTAAATCACAACACGTAGTTATATTGTATATGTATCCATGTGCACGCGCAACCCTCGCGTCTATCTACTGCTGGATGGAGTTCTCCCCACGCCATGCAGGCTGCAGTTGTTTGACCATACTTCACCATGCTGGTCAATGCATGTTTGCGAAGGGGGCGGGGGGCGGGGGAGTGCTCAGGACTGGTTCAGATATCAGCCGTAGCCAGGAATTGAACCCGGTTTATAGCACAAGTTGATGACCGCTGCTGTACCATGGCTCCATGATGGCACCGGCATGTGATAACAATATAGCAGATGGAAAGCAGCAGCATACAGTTTAAATATTAACCAGAATAGATGAACATCTTACACTGTGAGTAATACTAAGCAATAAAACAATGTTGTGGTGTAGAGTTTATATGCAACTTAAAAAGCCAATCAAAAGTCCGAATGTGGTAGGAGTTCAGAGTTAATCTTCATTGCATGTTGATGGCCGGTAGCACAGAGTACAGTGAGCATAGAAGTACAGTATAACAGTATATACTGCCGCACCACATTCTGTTGCCCACCACGAAGCCCAATAGCCCCGTGACAACCCGTTTGTGTGTGACGGTCGGTCATCCGAATGCCATCCGGGAGGAGCGAATTGGCTGCAGGCCACAGGAATGGAGCAATTTTGCTGAGCGCAATCTGACTCGGCGGTGAGAGGGCGCACCACTGGGTCCGAGGACCCACACGCAAGTCACGTATGCGTTTGCGTCGCAACGAAAGGCTCACCCGGCATTGGGCTTGAACGTGAGCGGAAGTCTGCTGCTGTGCCCGGACCCTTGTCACGAACATCTTCGTCTGCACAACCGTTACAGGAAACGAGTAATGTCATTGGTTGTGTGAGAAATGAGAATTGGCCGGCCAGGGGGTGCTCGGCAGTAGAGCGAGCGTCTTGCGATTAGAAGGTTGCGGGTATTCTAATCCTGATTGAGATTTGAACTCAACCATCCAGAGTCGATAAAACGAGCACCGCTTTGTGGGGAACCCAACGGTGGTTGTCCGATGGAGAGACTCGCCCCTGCCATAGGATCTAGGAATCTCCACCAGTAGCTCAGGGCGATAAATAGGAGATGGCCATCGATGCCTCAGTGTCCATTTGGTTCAAACAAATAACTTTGAATGGGAATTACACGGCACGAATTAAAAAGTCACAATTTCACAGAAACTCTTGATTCACTCACGGGCTTTGCTGTTCTCACACTCCACTGCTCGGCTTAGGAGGTTTTCCAAAATTGTGCTGTAGAGCTCCTCCTCTGATGAGTCCTTGCAGTCATCGCCGTGGTCACCCAGCCTTAGCTGCTCCTCCTGCACTACCGACCACTCGATATCCTGAGCGCACACATCACAGGAAAATCGTGCACATGCGCAGCTCTTTTGTCAATCCACTGCTGGGTGAGGTCCTCCCGATTAGATTCGCCACCTTTTTCACAAGCAAAACCCGGGAATATTTCTCAGTTCTATTATCAAAACTGTGCGTACACTACTGTAATAAAGTTGAACACAGGAATACTGGTACCATATGTTGGTACAAATCAATTCCTGCCACCCAAACCCAGATGCCAATTCGTGGATAGTCAAACCTGCCGTTGAAAGTCGTGGGGGTTAATTGACCATACTTCTTGGCTCATTTATTTTGTAATTTTCACCGTTTTATTCGCAAGGAGTAAATGTTTACAGACCCCCTTTTTTGGTAACGTTCTGGCGAGTTCTGTGTGCCGCACGACGCATTTTGACAGTGCCGTACCTCAGAGTTTTGAATGAGCTCCGTTAGGGCAGGGAATCCGTGCCGGTGGGCCAGGGAGCCGGGGGAGTCCCCGTGCCGGTTGAGAACGTTCCGGGCCGACTCGGAACCCGGGCAGCGCAGCAGCTGTGAGGTGAGGCACCGCAGGCCGAACCGCGCCGAGAAGTGCAGCAGGGTTGGCAGCTCAGCGTCCGCGGAAGCTGCGACGCGAGAGTATCAGTGAAGTCGGGGAGCGCGGACGTGGGAGCATATCGAGCACACATCACAATATAATTCTTCTGCCCACCACGTAGCTCTGAAGTCTATAACACCTATTATGCTTAGCGGCCATCCATCTAAGCACCAACCATATTTAGATCCGACTGTGTCCATCCAGTGCTCACCGAGCTGGATTGGCTTCCAGTTGTCGAACGAATCACGTTATAATGTCGCACTCTTTACACACAAAGTGCTTGCAACAAATGAACCACAATACCTTGCTGATCTCGTGAAGTAACATCAACCATCACACGAACTCTGTTCATCCTCGCAGCGGTTTTTAGCTAGCCACCAAACAAAGACGGTCACTGCAATGCACGCTTTCAGATACACTTATGCGGCCGTCTGGCACACTGTTCCTTCTGATATTAGGAAGCCACTGGAGCTATGCACTTTTAAATTTATATTGAAAACTAATTTCTTTAGAACCGATTTTTGTTTTTAGTTTGTTGTCCTTCCCCGCACCTCTGATTAGCACGGTTGGCTACGTACGGTGCAAAAAAAGGTCAACATACGTACATACCAACACCTTCGCAGCCTTTCCCAATTGAGTGATCCCAACGTGAGCACATCTTAATGGGGGGAGGGGGGTGTACACTTACACGAGTCTGGTTCTCCGACAGGGAACGCCTGCACTCTCGTCCCAGACAAGTTGCTCTGCAAAGACTCGGTGAGCATCTCGTCCATCTTATCTGTGTGGCTGTGGTGCATTGAAAACGCCTGCATGCGACAGAGAACAGAACCGTCACCTCGACTGACCAGGCAACGCCGCAGCAAGGCCGCTCGCAATGCGAATTAAAATCCTGGTCGGGAGTCGACTCAGCCTATCACCACTTAGTGGGGAAGTCAAGAGTGGTTGTCCTGTTGATAGATAGACTCTCCTCTGCCATAAAAACGTGTAATTTCCACCACTGACTCAGGGATGTAAGCAGGAGATCAGCACCATCTCAGTGCCTGTTTGAGCAAAGCAATCACTTTCATTAAAGTCAATAAGCGACACAGACATTAACTATTGTTTATTCCATCACCCTGCGAGGCTTCTCGACGACAGCTGGAGTTCTCACTCTCAATACCTCTTGAGACTTATTGCTGAATCCAATACTGGCTGCGTAGCTCACTATCGTTATGACGATGATCATAACGATGAGTACACTCGTTGTTTTCTCAGGAAGGTCTCGCCGGCTCTCAGGATTCTGTTTCTTTAATTTTTAAGGTGGTCCTGCTAAGTCTTTACGGTGCTTTATAATAAATTGATTTACCAGTAATTTTATTACAATTTTTATCTTGACGCCGGCACACAATGGTCTAGTATTCTTCAAATGACGTCCCGGCACCTTGAACGTGCACTGAGTGAAGCGGACAGACGGCGCCGAGTCTGCTGTGGTGAATACAGCCGCAGTGTTCACCGCTCAAGCAAGGCAGAGTGATTTCTACCTCCGGTTTACAGCACTGAGTCAGTGGCAGTATATCTATATTCATATGGGGTGGGCGAGTCTTTCTATAGAACATGTTACCAGGAGCATAAACCATCACAAGAACTCCGTCCATTCTCGTAGCGGATATTGGCTAGCCACCGAACAAAGATGGTATTGCTTGCTTTCAGATGCGCTTTTGCTGCCATCTGTAATGCTCTTCCTTCCGATATTAGGAATCCACTGGGGCTATGCACTTTTAAATGATCAAGATTGAAAACTAATTTATTCACAGCTGCTTTTATATTTAGTTTGTTGTCCTTCCCCGCACCTCCGATGAACACGGCTGGCTACGTACGGTTCGTGTGAAGTTCAACATACTTACACACTTACCAGTGGTTAACTGTTAATTGTTATACCGATTCGTTAAAAAGTTTCCTAAGACTTTTACACAGCAAGTGTTTGCTTATTGCCGTGGTCCGCACTCACCTGCTGCATGAAGCTCAAGGGATTGGTGACGCCGTGGAGCAGGTGGCGCAGCTGCTGCTGTGGCGAGACGTAGGTGAGCTCGCCCAGCGCCAGGAGGCCCCCCGCCTCTCCGCTGTGCACGGCTACCGTGGCGCGGCCCGGGCCCAGCTCTGTGTTGCACAATGCACGTGGGGCCGTCACCGCTCACCCTTACTCAGGCTCTCTCCACGTCGACTCTTCTGTGCATCACTTGGACTCGACGTGATTTTAGAACAAAGCCTGGTCAGTATCACCATTTCCTTTGACGACGGTGTAGCCCGCCGCCGCCAGGGTTTTGGGCGCATGAGTAATTTACCTTCCGTTTGTTGACGCTGTCTTGTGAGTTAAAGGTTTGTTTTCCCAGGAAAAGGTGCAACGTGCCATTGAAGACAACAGCAATATCAATAAGCAATGTGTAGTAATACCCCCTTTTACGTCATATCGCAAATACTTTATAAATGCCACTACCTGATTTGTGTCACCACAACCCACACTTGTGTCGCTGACAGCATCACCTGTCGTTTCTCAATCGCCTCAGCCTTCACCTCCACCACCTATGCTGTGAATCACTTTGATTTATGTCGTTTCGCTATTCGTTGTTGAACCTTTCAGGGACGCATCTATGATGTAAACACAGATGTTGCGAAACTTCCTTCCCGTGCACGTCAAGGAGGAGCCATACCCTGGCGCACCAGAAGGCGGTACAGCAATTGTAGACATCGACATCTGTTCCAACTCTCTTCCCGTGGGCGGTGAGGAGGAGCCAGGAGAAGGCAGTACAGCAAAGTGTGGACTCCAACTATTCCGTCTCTATGGGATAGCGTTTCCCCCTCTCACGCGTGGGGTTTCTCTGGGTGCTCCAGTTTCTTTCCAGATATAAAAACTCAACAATTGACCAATAACACCTTAATATATATGAAAGACCCAAGAATACAGTGAGGGAAAAAAAGTATTTGATCCCCTGCTGATTTTGTACGTTTGGCCACTGATAAAGAAATGATCAGTCTATAATTTTAATGGTAGGTTTATTTGAACAATGACAGACAATAACAACAACAAAATCCAGAAAAAACGCATGTCAAAAATGTTATAAATTGATTTGCATTTTAATGAGGGAAATAAGTATTTGACCCCCTCTCAATCCGAAAGATTTCTGGCTCCCAGGTGTCTTTTATACAGGTAACAAGCTGAGATTAGGAGCACTCCCTTTAAGAGTGTGCTCCTAATCTCAGCTCGTTACCTGTATAAAAGACACCTGTTCACAGAAGAAATCAATCAATCAGATTCCGAACTCTCCACCATGGCAAAGACCAAAGAGCTCTCCAAGGATGTCAGGGACAAGATTGTAGACCTACACAAGGCTGGAATGGGCTACAAGACCATCGCCAAGCAGCTTGGTGAGAAGGTGACAACAGTTGGTGCGATTATTCGCAAATGGAAGAAACACAAAAAAACTGTCAATCTCCCTCGGCCTGGGGCTCCATGCAAGATCTCACCTCGTGGAGTTGCAATGATCACGAGAACGGTGAGGAATCAGTCCAGAACTACACGGGAGGATCTTGTCAATGATCTCAAGGCAGCTGGGACCATAGTCACCAAGAAAGCAGTTGGTAACACACTACGCCGTGAAGGACTGAAATCCAGCAGCGCCCGCAAGGTCCCCCTGCTCAAGAAAGCACATATACATGCCCGTCTGAAGTTTGCCAATGAACATCTGAATGATTCAGAGGACAACTGGATGAAAGTGTTGTGGTCAGATGAGACCAAAATGGAGCTCTTTGGCATCAACTCAATTCGCCGTGTTTGGAGGAGGAATGCTGCCTATGACCCCAAGAACACCATCTCCACCGTCAAACATGGAGGTGGAAACATTATGCTTTGGGGTTGTTTTTTCTGCTTCAGCCAGGGCATTGAAAATGGGTCGTGGATGGGTATTCCAGCATGACAATGATCCAAAACACATGCCCAAGGCAACAAAGGAGTTGCTCAAGAAGAAACACATTAAGGTCCTGGAGTGGCCTAGCCAGTCTCCAGACCTTAATCCCATAGAAAATCTATGGAGGGAGCTGAAGGTTCGAGTTGCCAAACGTCAGCCTCGAAACCTTAATAACTTGGAGAAGATCTGCAAAGAGGAGTGGGACAAAATCCCTCCTGAGATGTGTGCAAACCTGGTAGCCAACTACAAGTAACGTCTGACCTCTGTGATTGCCAACAAGGGTTTTTCCACCAAGTACTAAGTCATGTTTTGCAGAGGGGTCAAATACTTATTTCCCTCATTAAAATGCAAATAAATGTATACATTTTTACATGCGTTTTTCTGGATTTTTGTTATTGTTATTCTGTCTCTCACTGTTCAAATAAACCTACCATTAAAATTATAGACTGATCATTTCTTTGTCAGTGGGCAAACGTACAAAATCAGCAGGGGATCAAATACTTTTTTTCCCTCACTGTACGTGGTGTCCGCAATGTGAGTACATCGCACGCCGTGCCCCTCTAGGGTCGGCACCATACAGTGACATCCGCGATGTTACTGCAGTAGTACTAGCGGGAAGTACCTGGCATTGCCTGGCATTGCCCGGGGGAAAAATATATTTCAAAACTTCTGTTAAAAACAGAACAAACACAAGAACTAAGCTATTTTGAAAGCCTGGCCTTCTGTTTGTCCTTCCATTTGTACAGCAACAAAATTATAAGAGGCTTGAGGAAGTCCTGAATCAAAAAGTAATAGAAAGTGGAAGGTAAATAGTTGACCCAACAGGTTTCTGAAAATTGTCGACCTCCCCCCACCCCTCAAAAAATATTTTTACCCCCCCGTAGGCATATATACCTACACACCCTACATACAATAGAGTGAGTAGTATATAGTGACTCTAAAGCAGTTTATGGCTCTATAGTAGTATCTGGCTCTACAGCTGTATCTACTGACTGTATAGTAGTATCTATTGACCCTATAGTAGTATCTACTGACTCCACAGTAGTATCTGCTGACTCTATAGTAGTATCTGCTCACTCTATAGTGGTACCTGCCGACTCTATAGTAGTATCAACCAACTCTATAGTAGTAAACACTGACTACAGTGGTATCTAATGACCATAGTAATATCTACTGAATCTATAGTTGTATTTATTGACTCGATAGTAGTATCCACTCACTATAGAAGTAACTACTAACTCTATAGCAGTAACTACTGACTCTATGGTAGTATCTGCATACTCTATAGCAGTATTTGCTGACGCTATTGCAGTATCTACTGACTCTATAGTCATATCTACCGCTTCTGCAGCAGTATATACTGACTATAGTGGTATCTACTGACTGTACTATTATCTACTGACTCATCCTCAAGTGACAACTTTGGTCACAAATGTTCCACCAAGAAGTCCAATGAGTCCACACCATTTTGAACATTTCTCGTAATGGACGATGCTCATGTGAGTGATAGCACATCTAATGCATATCGCAGACTACTTCCATCGCCCAAAGAGAGGCACCACTGGTAGCTGCAATGGGTGGCATCACTGGACAGTGCGACGCACTGAAGATGAGCTTTCCAGAACAAGGAAATCAATCTTCTTGGTTCTTTCGGTAAAGTCACATAGAATGGAAATAATAAAATAATACAAATAAAACATAAAATAATTCTCACGACGTTTCGGCCACAACGCAAGCAGCCGTCCTCAGGTGGAAACAGGTCTGTCGAGTAGACAGAGTCTGACTCTGTCTCCTCGACAGACCTGTTCTCTACTTGCGTTGTGGCCGAAACGTCGTGAGAATTATGTTATTATGTTTTATTTTTATTATTTTATTATTTCTATTCTACGTGACTTTACCGAAAGAACCAAGAAGATGAATCCCTGCAGTCACGAAAGCTTTAAATCGAAGGAAATTAATCTTCCGTTGTGTGCAACATGCAGCTTATGCAAGTGAGATCAAGTCCATCAACAAGGAAGAAGACCTTCCTCGGGTCGGCTCCCTCAGGAAGTTAAACCCCAGGATGGACAAAGACGGCTTGCTCAGGATTGGTGGTCAGCCAGGGAATGCAAAATTAGATGAGAATTAATGAAATCTCCTCATAATCCCAAGCCAGAGCCACATCGCAATTTTACTTGTGCGCTACTACCACGAGAAGGTCAAGCACCAAGGTCGGCACTTCACAGAAAGAGCAATCCGATCTGCAGGATTGTAGATCGTTGGAGCAAAGAGGTGCATCACCAGCACAATTCACAAATGTATGAGGTGTCGCAAGCTATGTAGAAAACAGGAATAACAAAAAATGGCAGACCTCCCAGCTGATCGACTCAGTATGGAACCTCCCTTCACCTCTGTAGGGATCGACATGTTCGGACAGTGGACAGTCATCTCCCGCCGCACCAGAGAAGGGCTCGTGAACAGAAAATGTTGGGCAGTGCTGCTCACCTGTATGAGTATATGAGCAGTGCACATCGAAGTTAGCGAGTCCATGGACTCTTCGAGCTTTATAAATGCACTCTGGAGATTCTTCGCATCAGAGGGCCGGCCAAGCAACTCCATTCTGATTGTGGAACCAATTTCACTGGAGCATGTAAAGAGCTTAAGATCAATACGGAAAATGTTGAAGATGAGTCTGTAGGGAAATACCTTAGTGACCAAGGCTGCACATGGATCTTCAATCCTCCTCACTCTTCGCATATGGGTGGAGCCTGGGAACGCATGATCGGGATTGCTCGACGGATTTTTGACTCCATGCTGTGTGATGTTGGGTCCACACGGCTCTCTCACGAGGTCTTGACCACTCCCATGGCCGAGGTCTCAGCTATAATTAACTCAAGACCCCTGATCCCCATCTCAACCAACCCAGAGTCACCATTCATCTTGACTCCTGCTACACTTCTTACCCAGAAGACAGATGTGCTCACAGCACCCATCGAGGAGGTTAGCACTGCAGATCTCTACAGACGTCAATGGAGACAAGTGCAGAGCTTCGCCAACACATTCTGGCGTTGTTGCAAAAACGAGTACCTTACGACACTTCACGTGCGCAGCAAATGGCAGTCGAGCAGACCAGACATCCAAGAAGGTGACCTCGTCCTACTAAAGGACAACCAAGTCAAACGGAATGAGTGGCCAATGGGCCGCATCTTCAAGACGATTCCCAATGCCGATGGAAAAGTTCAAAAGGTTGAGGTTATGATAGCGAAGCAAGGTGTCGCAAGAACTTTCGTCAGGCCTTTTGCTGAGATAGTACTGCTTCTCTCTCGCAAAGATATGGACAAATAAGTTGACCCGTTGAAGTTTGTTGTACATTTGTTTATGAGATAAATGGTGAAAATAAATGGTGGTATCTCGTAGATACCAGACAGGTGTGCGTACACAGGAATTTCCTGATATGGTGTTGAGTTTGGTCACGTGACCAGGAAGTGACGACTTAAGATTCTCTAAGCCATGAGGCAGGGTGTCAGCCATTACACAGAGTGCAAAATGGAGGCACAAATAGTGTCTCAGTCAAGACAGGTGCATCTGTTCATTGTGGGACTTTAAAAAGCATTGTCTGTAAGTTCGTTTATGTTCTTGTAATACTGGAAATGCTGATAATTGGTTTTTTACCCTTCTATCTGGCAACAAAACTGACACCTTTTTACAAGGAGTCATGTTTGTATAGACCGCAATACCTGCAGTCGTAATACAAACAAAAGACATAACTCTGATAATGTGCACTGTCCTTGAAGTTGATTGGTCCACACCCGAGACAGCTTTCCTTAGAGCCTAGTCTCACATGGGTTGGACCAGGCTCTAAGGAAAGCTGTCTAGGGTGTGGACCAATCAACTTCAAGGACAGTGCACATTATCAGAGTTATGTCTTTGTTTGTATTATGACTGCAGGTATTGCGGTCTATACAAACATGACTCCTTGTAAAAAGGTGTCAGTTTTGTTGCCAGATAGAAGGGTAAAAAACCAATTATCATATTTTTACTGGCCAATGAGGTTCCCATACACTGGAAATGCTGTTATAATGTTAGGATTGCCGTTATAATGCTGTAAAAGCCTTTATAATTATGTTAAATTGTTATAATAAATATGAGGCCTAGTTAACAACGAAGCCTGCCACTTGCATTATTGTGAATGTTACTTGTAATTGAGTCAGACTTGTACCCATGTACCTTTAATGTGATCTTGAGAGCAAGGATGAAGAAGCATCTCATCCATAGTTCAGTGTTATGTGCAGCGCTGTACATTTAGGCTGCAGTATGGTGATTACACGATGTGGCCTTATTTAACACAGTAGCTTATTCTCTTGTGTAGATATTCAGTGCTAATGTAGGTGCCTGGGCCATCCAGGACCTATTGTTGAGTTTCATGTTATCTAAGACAATGTTATGATGCTGCAGTGTTTATTGTATTGATTTTCCAAGTATTAACAGATGGTGTATTTTGTGCTGTGTTTTTCCATCAGTTTTACCTCGCTCTATTCATTACATACATTTGGAGTCGGATGTTCAGCCTGTCTCTAAAGGTGTATTGAATGCGATGTTAACTACTCGGATAGTGGTGCAATGCAGCACACAGCAAGGCCGAGACACGAACTCTATAATAGTACTAACTTCACATAGTGTAGTGGTAAGGCCTAGTCCCATGCAGAGCCCCCAGCCTCGCCTAAATTGCCCAGCCGTCCGAGGTGGCACCTTTGCAGGCTGGGACTGGGCTGCTATTCCCCCCCCACCATCACCCCACCTACTCTACAATAATATTATCTAAGGACTATAATAGTAGTATCTACCGACCCTATAGCATTAAGTGCCCACATTGGAGAGAATAGGACATCACACTGTGCAGAATTTACCTCAGCGTTGTGTATTTGCTGTTGTTGCATTTTTAACGCGAATGAGAATTCCCCCCTCACCCCACCGATCGCGCGTGTGTGTTGCTAGGGCAATCACCACCACGGAGCAAAGTAACGTTGCAGCGACGAGAAAAGGAAGCTGTTGAACAGGGCCATCCACAAGGGGACAAAAATAGGCAATATCTGCTGGGCTTCACGCAAGCGGGCCTCACGAGGGACTTGCTAATAAGGAGGCCCCCCAATGTGTGGCATTCTGCTGGGTTCCTCCACAACACCTCTGGGCGGCAGTTTGTCTGGGTGACGGCAGCCCGTTCTCACCGGGTGCCTCGAATCTCAGTGTGAAGACGTTGAGCCTCTCGGGCTGAACCTGGGTCCCCTGCCTGTCGCGCGAGGACCTCACGGTCACGATCACTGCGGAGTCCGGCAGCCTCGAGGACAGCAGCACGAGCACAGCAGGTCGCGTCTGTTGGCCACAATATCCACACACAAACACACTTTATACATACAAACACTATTCACACACTATTCACACGCACTATAACACACTATTCACACACAAAATACACACACTAGTTACACAAACAACACACACACTTCATACAAAATCCACACATACTGCACACCACACACTATTCATACAACATCCACACACAATATCCGAACAAAACATTCACACATACACACACAATCCACACGCTAAATCCATAGAAACACTAAATATCCACACAAACACGTAATATTCAGACACACACAAAATCCAGACAATTTCTACAAATACACACAATATCCACGCACACACAATATTCAAACACAATACACAACGACCGCCATTCGCCACTAAGTGGTGGTGACATCACCACGGCGCTTGTGCCAAGCTTTGTGCACTTTGAGGCCACGTGAAGTGTCGAACACCCGCTGGCAGGAGGTCACGAGACAGACCCAGGTCCCATACGGTGACTGATTGAGATTACTGGCAGATGCACCACCTGTGCCCCCTACTGTGTCAACATTCAGTCTTTTAGCCACCCGGCACTCCGCTCATTGTTCTGAGCATTGCTCCTCTGCCCTCCGTTGTTGCTGGAGGGCGACTGCCTCCGACTGCCAAGTCGCGTCCTTCACCAGCTCCTTCCACAAAGGCTGATCTTGATACCGCTGGTACTAGTAATTGACAAGTCCACTCAGTTCCATATCCTCTCATGCCACATCATTCCATCTTTTCTCTAACACGTTCCTGCCCAACAGAAGCTGTTTGGGCATGCGGTGGCTGGGCATGCAGGCTGCATGACGTAGCCAAAGCGGCTTTGCCTGCCGGAGAAGCTGACATGTAGGACTGCGTCCAGATCTTTTAAGGATTTGGGAGCTCATACTCTTAGGTTTTTTCGGTAAAGTCACGTAGGTAAAAATAAATAATAATAAATAATAGAAATAATAATAGAAATAAAATAATAAATCACGACGCTTCGGAGGCAACACAAGTCTCCGTCATCAGGTGGGACCATCACTGCTAAATTTACTGTATAAAGTGAGGCAAAATTCCAAGTGACAAGCTCTTAAATACAAGTTAACTTGTATTTAAGAGCTTGTCTCTGCACAGACACGTGTAACATTGCTGCACTTACTCCACAGATGATTTTGCGTGGCTCCACAATCACAGACTCAATTTGTATCACGTTCTGAGCTTCAGTTGTTCCCTCCTGCGCATTCATCAGTTCCTTAGACTCTCCAGTGGACGTATCCAACATTTCTTCTTCTTTCTCATCATCAGCAGCAGAACTATTTTCGTCTTCTGATTGTAGGGTGTTTACGTGGAACTGCTTCACTGAATGCATATCTTGCCGCGTTTTACCATCACGGTCTGAGGTAGGGTTCAATGTAAGATCAGAATATAGGTTGTTGTCAGGATGTGTATCAAGGTTTTCATTGACATTACGATCGAGGTAACGATAATCATTAGGCCTAAGGCTGCGATCATCATTGTTTTTGTCAAGGTTGGGCTCATTGAAAGGGCCTATATCGTATGTATGGTCATTGCCAATGTCTGTAATACTGTCTGCCTCTGAACTGAGGTCATCATCTTTACAGTCTTGTTCAAGATGAGGAGGGTATCTGCTATCATCAGTGCCCAGTTGAGAGACAAGGTTATCATCTTTACTGCCTTGCTCAAGATCAGGGTAACTGCTATAATTAGGGCCCAGATGAGAGACAAGGTTATCATCTTTACTGCCTTGCTCAAGATCATGGTAACTGCTATCCTCAGTGCCCAGATGAGATCCAAGGTCATCATCTTTACTGCCTTGCTCAAGATCAGGGTAACTGCTGTCATCAGTGCACAGATGAGATCCAAGGTTATCATCTTTACTGCCTTGCTCAAGATCAGGGTAACTGCTATGATGAGTACCCAGATAAGATCCAAGGTCATCATCTTTACTGCCTCGCTCAAGATGAGAGTAACTGCTATAATCAGCGCCCAGATTAGAATCTGAGCGAATGTCGTCATCGGTGTCAGGCCTCTGGTCAGAACAGTTGGAATGAGATCCATCGACATTCGAGCTGACATCGCCTTGTGGAGGGTGGGAGTAGAAATCGAGGTAAATGTCTTCTTCGTCGTTCTCGTCATCGTCGTATGGTTCAGCGTGAAGTTCTTGGTTAAACTCGGCCACAAGAATCCCGGGCGGCACTTCCTCTTCTCCTTCCTCTTCACATGTTTGCCCATAAAAGGGAACTGAAGAGTCGGCGAGCCGCTCAGGTTCTGAAATTGTGAAGTAAAACAAGGCTTAAAATCTGGACACAGTTATAACGCAGTAATGTCGATATGCAGCACCGGAGCGCATTGTAAAATAATCGGAGGTAACACTTTAACCAACGTTGAGAATGAGAAGATTTCTGAAGACAACTCGTGGAGCTGCATTAAATTAACGTTAACGGATCGAACAGTTTCATCCACGTCTCTTTGAATGGCCACTCGTGGTGAAACCGGGTCCTAAAGTGTAAAAGTGTAGCCAGTTGATGGTTTCAGCCCGGTCACCTATTTCCTGCACAATATATAGCATGTTAAATTTGGTTGTGTAATTCATTATCATGAGCCATGATATATCCACTTCTGGATAAAGGACTTCCTAAACCATCACCATCCTTCATGGTCTTGCGATGCAACCATCACAGTGGAGAGGGCACCACGGTGGCAATCTTAACTACCTCGCCTGCTATATAGGAGGTCATGGGTTCGATCCCAACCGACCCCTGTATATTTGGAGTTTGCATGTTCTCCCCGTGGTCGTGTTAATTTTTCTCTGGGTTTCCCGGTTTTTCCCTTCACATTTAGAAACGTGCATTTATTGTATTTGGCTGCTATAGATTTCCACGCAATAAGCCACTTCATTGAGCAATCATTTGTGGCCAAGTCGCTTCTGAAAAAGAGCCATATAGTTCATTGGGCCTTGCCTGGTCAAATAAAAAGTTTAGTTTAGTTCGGCTGCCCTTCCAAGTGGGTGTCCGTGTGGTGAGGGTGTAACTCGGGCCATCATCCCCTCTTTGCATGTAAATTAAAACTTTACACGTGAATTCACAACCTCCTTCCCTCAGCCAGGGCATTGAAAATGGGTCGTAGATGGGTATTCTAGCATGACAATGACCCAAAACACATGGCCAAGGCAACAAAGGAGTGGCTCAGGAAGAAGCACATTAAGGTCCTGGAGTGGCCTAGCCAGTCTCCAGACCTTAATCCCATAGAAAATCTATGGAGGGAGCTGAAGGTTCGAGTTGCCAAACGTCAGCCTCGAAACCTTAATGACTTGGAGAAGATCTGCAAAGAGGAGTGGGACAAAATCTCTCCTGAGATGTGTGCAAACCTGGTGGCAAACTACAAGAAACGTCTGACCTCTGTGATTGCCAACAAGGGTTTTGCCACCAAGTACTAAGTCATGTTTTGCAGAGGGGTAAAATACTTATTTCCCTCATTAAAATGCAAATCAATTTATAACATTTTTGGCATGCGTTTTTCTGGATTATTTTGTTGTTTTTCTGTCTCTCACTGTTCAAATAAACCTAGCATTAAAATTATAGACTGAACATTTCTTTGTCAGTGGGCAAACGTACAAAATCAGCAGGGGATCAAATTACTTTTTTCCCTCACTGTAAGTTACTGATTTAGAACCACCAATGGCGACGAGTGTTGCTTGCCCTTCATGCTCACTGGAGCAGGGAGATACTTTGGCAGCAGTAATATTTGAATGGAGAAGGCCCTGTCAGCACAAATCTCCATGTGACATCATCGTGACGGGTTATTTCCAGAAAACTCTCAAAGGCTGTTGTTCGTGGGCAGGACTTGTCATGAGAAGTGGGCTAAAATGGTCCGTCCCCAATTAGAGCAGCGATATGTACAATTTACGCGACTCCCCACCCACCTCGCACACTGCCTTGTATCGTCCACTGAATGGCCGCGAGGTATTGCTCTGCTTGGCAATACGCGCTCAGGTGGACCCACAGGTGACTGTCGGGGAGAACGTCCCTCAACGTTGCGACGTCCTCCTCCTCCACCGCGTCGCAATTGAGCAACACCACGCTGCGAGGCGGCGCCACGGCGCGCACCAATGCCTCGGCCGGCATGGGCTCCTGCCGCAGCGTTCCGAGCAGCCCCGGGGTGAGCACTATCACCTTGCACGGGCAGCCACGGAGGTGCAGCAGGACCTGCCTGGCCGGGAAGCGCGACGGACGCGGCTCCTCGTACCCGGTGCAATCACTGGCCGGCCCGGAGGCACCCGGCTTGGGACGCTCGGGCGTCGGGTTTGTGGCGGCGGCGGCGTCGTCGTTTCTGCCGTGAACCAGCAAAGTGGCGAGCACGGCACCCAGAGGGCATGGCTCAATCTGGTGCGCTTGCAGATAGCCCGAGGAGATGAGGAGGCGACACAGATACTCACTCCACTCCGCCCCGTCCTCCTCATGGAGTATTAGCACCTGGCAACCTGTGCGGCGGGGAAGCGGTCACGAGAGAAACAGTGCAGAAGAAGCGGCAGCAGAGAACGCAGTGGGCAGCAGTGTTTCCCAACTCCAGCCCTGACCACACTTAAAAAGGCCAACTTTAGCAGAATTCAAAATCGTGGTTTGCACGATTATGCATTTTGCCTTATACAACATATGACAAAAATACTCAGTTTCCTAATACACTTTGGCTTAACCCACTTGTTTGGTTGCATCATCATCATCGCCATCATCACAGTTCATGGGCATATAACCCGTATATGTCCATTGCACATTTCGTCATTTGTTTCCACTTTCCTCTGTCTTGTGCAAATATGCTCAAGTAGTGCCACATCTTTCTGGTATCAATCCCTTATGTCAAGTAATTCTCTGTTAGGTCTTCCTCTCTTTCCGGTTCTTTCCATTCTTCTGAACATGCTTATATTTTTTATGTTGTTGTCCATCCTATAGATGTGTTCAAATAGTGCCAGTTTCCTCCTCATCATTGCCTTTATCATGTCACTCTTTGGGTCCAGTTTAAATGCAGTATCCTTCTGTAGGAATATCGAGTGCCAATATCTTATATCTGTCAGTCGTTTTCATGGCCAAGTCTCGCAGGCATACAAAGCTGTACTGAACACGCATGCTCTCACGATGTTCAGATTGGTCTAATAGCTGATTTTATTGCTTCCCTAGATGCTATTGAAACCTGCCATTACTTATCTTTCCTTTGAGATCCTCGCTCTTATGTCTTTCGTGCAGCCATTGTCCCATGTCAGTAGACTTCCCAAATATACAAATTCCTTATATGCACACTCTTGCTGCTTTCTATTATTAACTTAATTATCAACGTCCTTCCTTCCGAACACCATTATCTTTACTCTTTGGTTCTTTCGGTAAAGTCACGTAGAAAGAAAACAAAATAGAATAACTAATATTAGTTATTTTATTTTATTTATTAGTATTTTCTTTCTACGTGACTTTACCGAAAGAATCAAGGAGTAATTCCTGCAGTCACAAAAGCTTAAAATTAAGTTTGAACCATTATCTGTCTTTTTCACGTTAATCCTCAATCCTGCATCCTTTCCTGACTAGTCAGCATATGAACACTTTCCTGCAGTACTACGCAGCTTTCTTCCATCAGATCTATGTCATCCGCGAATCTCAGGGTTTTTTTCCCTTGTACAGATATTGCTGTGCCGTTGTCGTGAATGGCATCCATCGCTCTTTCTGTTTGGGTTGCATTATCTTCAATGTCCTCTTGGTTTATACTTTTCAGCAGTTGACAAATTAGTGTTAATGTTATAAGTTATTCAGTATACAAAGTTTAAATATACGAATGAAGCTCTAGGAACGCATCTACTTCGTATATGAAGGTATAACGGTATAGCGTTGTGTGTAAATGAGCAGTGTTTATGGATTTTTCTTTATGCCATGGGCTAGGGCCCATATTGGGCTACAGAGCTCGCTGAGTGGTGACCCCCGGTGGGGGGCGTGGTGGGTGAAGGGAAATACTGAGATATGTGCTACTTTCAGAAATCACAATGCATCAGATGATTGTCGTAATAATGATTGATTGAAAACCCGAAATTATAACAGCAGCCAATTAGAAAGCATACCTGTAAACTCATACGGTTTACCCATATTATTGTACAGGGAAATTGAGTTTTCAAGTCCATACAGCGTACAGCCGTTTCAATACGGGCATATTATTTATTTGTATATTTGTGTTTCTCCCTTGTGATGGGACTTTGTAGGACGAACGTTGAGATTTATAAGGGCACGGGGTGACCAATAAGGTCTGAATTGCTTTGTAATAAGGTAGGCACTGATAAGGGGTTGACAGGTATGTGAAAGGGACTAAAATTGGAAAACATTTAGCATCAAGTCAAGTCAAATGTTTTACAGTATATATTCGTGGCGCCTTTCTGGCAAAAATCTGGCACTGTGTGTGGTCGATCTTGGTGTGGTCTGGGACTATTGTTTTTGCTGTTTTGCTGCCTTTCCCCAAGTTTGCATTTGGTGTAGACAAATCGGCAGGAATTTATGAATTTGTGCAATTTGTACTTCTCTCCAGTATTTTATATTTATTTATTGCGACTTGCTTATATTGTCTCTATCTTGCTCTTAGATCGTTGTTTTGTATTGTTTGTTGATATAACTCGTTGACCCACCGCTACTGGACATCTGTAAAAAAGAGCTTCATAGCTCATCGGATTCCTCCAGTCTAAATTTAAATTCTAATTCTCATATACTATCACAGCATTCGACAGTATAAATACTTAAATCGAAGCAAAGTAACTTTAATGGATACAGATACCCAATGGTGGAGCCAGGATTTTCAGGTAGGGGGGGGGTAACCCCTTCAGCAATGAGAAATGATAGAGGAGTTGTTAGTAAGTAAAGGACTTGTCCCTTGCTTTTTATTCGACGCGTGTGCGGTGATGGTGCAGCCATCGATCGAGGGTCGAATTCGAACCGCGTTGTGTGATTGCTGAAATTTTCCTTCAGGGAAGTCGTGTGCTGTATACGCAACTGCGCACAATTCTGAGTCACTTATAACTGCTTTGCCGTTACTTATTGGCAATTATGGACTCATACTATTTGTCCTATCATCTCAGAGTCCCTGGCACACAACAATATGCTACAGTGTCAGCGGGGGTCGCAAAAAGCCGATTTATTACGAATAACCCCCAATGATCGAAATTAGATATTTGATCGGATCATTGGGGGGGGGGGGGCACGTGCCACCCCCCCCAACCGGCTCCGCCAGTGGATACCCAAAGATACCCGAGATATGAGAACCCCACCATGGCAACAGTAGCAACATCTTAAAACGTGGACTGTCATTCACTTGATCAGTAAATCAAAATATTCGACGATGGGCGACATGTGAAGCAGCTGTAAAGATCTGCATCACCCTTACACGTAGGCCTCGGCAAGGTAAGGTAATTTACCCTTTTTACCGGGTAAAAGGGTAAAGGTAAAAGGTGTCGACATGCCAAGGGGTAAGGTAAAGGGTAGAGTAAAGGTAACTCGGAAGAATTACCCGGTAGGGTAAAGGTCGCGCGAAGTATTACCCGGTAAATACGGTGCCTTGTTTACCGCTAAAAGCTCCGTGGCGCAGTCCGTGGCCTCCATTTAATAAGTAATCTTTAAAAAAAAACTTTTTAAAAAACACGCTTTAATGAAATGTGCTAGTAATGGCAGAACTCCACGACTCCAGGAAGTGGCCCCGAAGCTTGCCATAACGTAAGGGGCCGTGGCCAATTACAGCCAACCTCAGTTTACCGTGGACAATTAGACCCAAGCCGAAACATAACATATAAACAAGTAATGTTTTAAAATATGTTTTATATTTTTTATGATAGAACATAGTGTTGTCATCAGTATGACATAAGTATACCAAGTTTGCAGTCGATACCACATTGGGAAGTGGGTTAAATTTGAGTTACAAGATTTGAGGACACAACAACGACAACAACAGAGTGAATTAAAATCAATGGGTGTAAAATTGGAATAATCGAGAGTATTCTATATGGATAAAGCACTCTACCTCGCATTTACCATTATAAACCTTTTTCATGTGTAGTACCCCAGTAATTACCCTGTATAACACATAGGCTTTCACAACCAATATTATTCATAATATAGGTTTTTGGGTCAGATCGCGTTATTTATAAATGTGCCGTAACCCTCCACCACCCGACACGGCCAAACAGTAAAAAATGTGTCACGTTTTTCAAAGGACAAAATAATTCACTTCTTTAGCCCACCGGTGTGCTGAAGAGAGAATCGACTTTTAAAATGCTGTTGATTCTCTCTTCAGCACACCGGTGGGCTAAAGAAGTGAATTATTTTGTCCTTTGAAAAACGTGACATTTCTTACTGTTTGGCCGTGTCGGGTGGTGGAGGGTTACGACACATTTATAAATAACGCGATTTGAACAAAAAACTTATATTATGAATTACCCTGTAATCGGGTAATTTGTATGAGGTAAGGGTAAAAGGTAGGGTAAAGGTAGGCTCGTTGCTTTTTACCTTACCTGCTAAAGGGTAAAAGGTAGGGTAGAGTGATTGTATTGTGGTAAGGTAAAAGGTAGGCTTGTTTTTTTTACATTTTAACTTTTACCTTACCTTGCCGAGGCCGACTTACACGTAGCTCAATAGCACGGCGTGGTGAAACGAATGCACGTTGACCAACAGAGAGTGATTCACTTAGCACTTAAAATAATTATGGAAACATGTAGGCCATGGAATGCTGGAATGGTGGTCAGAGATGGAAAAATTGATAAAGTACATTTATCAAATTGTTCCAAAACCCCGACTGCTGCATGCGACATCGATTTTTTTTAACGGTGCATCGACCAATCGTTCGCCAACATAACAATATAACATGATAAAAGTGAGGTAACTTACCTGAATGTTCACTTGGGTCCATGTTCGTAGCTACAGGAGTAATATATGGGATGTTTCCCACTCTGCCGGAAGGGGAATGACGTTGCCACTGAAGCAGATGTCAATGTTGCTGGCTGCCTTGTGAAAAAAGAAATTCCCAGTGCCCAACCCGATGGTCACTCCGGTCTCACAGTGTCCTGATCAGCTTCGCTTGTTTACTGCCCGATTAAAATGTGAATTGGATACATCATTGTCACAGCGGACGGACGGGCCAATGCGTGCGTCTACTACCAGAGGCGAGTTCGTGTGGCCAGCCCGCAGAGCCGGCCCTCACGGAGTGAGAGAGGCACTGTAAACCGGCACTTCCCCATTCGATGCAATTCGAGGAACACATTTTACCATTTTACAGCAAAGCAGCAAACGCTTGCATGATAACCTGCTGACACTTCCCGTTGCACAAACCCACACATGACATCGGACTAACAGGCGACCACAATTGCAGCACCCAAATGTCAACGGACACTGAAGGCACCGACACATTATGGGAACTCAATTTAAGACTTTGGCTGTTAAGTTTGTGTGTGTGTGCTGCTTGGTGGCGTAGAGGTTAGCCCCCCTGCGCTATGAACCTGAGTTCGATTCGCGCTCACGGCCAACACCAGTGACGATTATCTGAACATCGCCACTGGGGAGACAAAGGCGGTGTCGCGTGGTGTTGGCCACCCACCCCCTCGTGTACCGTTCCAGCCTTCATTGGTGCTCGCGAACAGCACTTGCCCCAAGAGTCTGTCTTTGTGCTGCTTGCATTTGTGAAAACGTCTCTAAACCACAATGTCGTCATAAGCCATGATCCACTGCTGAATAAAAGACTCCCGAGTCGTTGCCATCGTGGTCCTGATCGTTTCAGCTTGGGTGCTGGCCCGGTGATTGGTCACAGACACAAGTGCATGCCGATAAGAATCACCTTCATAACGCACACTTTGCATTCGTCCAGCATGCCCCACAGCTTGCTCACGCTTCACATTTCCATTCAACTGCGCGTTACTAAATACTACACACACTCTGCTCATATATACAAGGAGCCATTTAAAAGTGACTAAAAACTGCACGTGGACGGACGTACATGACCAATATTGCAACGGATGGTGCTTTCACAGTGGCGCAATTTCGACAGAGGCAGCCATCCCGTGAGGTATGGTGCTGGTGTGAGCCCACGGATTACCGTAAACATCAACAGGGCTTTGGAGTGGTTGCACACCTTCACTGGAAGCAAATTGCAGTTGTCCCAGAAGTAGCCATGTTCACGTTTGTCTGCTCTATAAATAATCGAGGCTGCATTTAAATCGGCTGTGGTTTCCGCAGAATTACTACAGTAATGCCCTTGTCAAGTTGATTATCCAGAACCCACCGATTCACTCACCGGTGATCAGTCACCTCATCACTCTTCTGCCACTACTACCATAATTGCCGTGAACTTCATTATTCAATTCCACCACCTGTGTTAAGGACTCAGTCTGCCAGTCTGTTTTTTCTCATCCACACAGAGTTTAACAACCATACTGCAGGTCACAACACTCCCCTTTCTGGTTCCCTCTCGTCTTTTTCTCCTCAAAGCTCCTTTAACCTTGCTCATTTAAAGAAACACGTTGATTTTTTTGTATCTTCAAGGGGGATCCGGGGCTGCTGGCTCTGGGTACTGAACCACCATGGCCCGAGTTGAGTGCGAGAGGCTACCTCTTGCACATGAGGCTCACGGGCCTCCCAAGATTTACACTCCCAGACCCACGAGGCCAACCCTGTGGTTGGACGCCGACAACTCTTGACAGTGTTGTTTGTTACTGGCCGCTTGGCGTTTTTGACCTGTGCTCGGCAATCGTTTAAAATAACACTGACATACGAGTGCATCCGCATCTCCAATTTAACAGTTCGCTAAGTACAGTGCGAAATCAGTTCAACATATATGTGACACTGTGAATGGTAGGCACCACGGTCTGCATGCGTTGCGCTGGGTTTGTGGTTTGTGCGCGTGTACGGGGCCACAGCCTCAAACTCTCCTCGCTCCGGAGCCACATTTACAACAAACGCAGGTGTCATTAGCGATGTGGCCATCACGGGTAAAGTGATGAACCTCTGGTTTATACACCAAGACAGGATTGTCTGGAGATATTCGATGAATTTCCCAACAAGATATCCACCAGATACTACCGTGAAGGAAGCTACAGCGTAGGTAGGCGATACAGTACAATGCAGAAGTCTGTAATAACATTGAAGCGGTTTACAGTGCTGAACTAGTGGTCGAAATTTCACGTTCCTGTGGCGGGGACGAGTCTATCCAAAGGACAACTTTACTTCCCCACGAAGTGGTACATATTTTAATGACCACGGAGTGATCACGGCCTGAATCAGCCAATATGGATTTAGATAGCGTGTACAGGGTGCAGCGCTAAATAACACACAACTGTCAAAGAAAACCCTCCCAACTCACCAACAATACTGTCATAGTTTATTATCTAAAGAACCTTCCACACAAAGTCTCAACAACCATCACAAACCGTATTGCACACACACACAGTATTGATGAAAGACAGACATTTTGATTGCGCTCGAAAATGGAAGGAGAGTGGGAGTGCACACCAAAAGTGGGCCAGGTTTGTTTAATGTAACCGGTAGAAGTAGATCCCTAAGAACAACCCACAGAGGACAGGCAACTACAGCACTGGCGACACAGGGGAGGAAACCATTGCAGAGTGAGCGCGGGGGTGCGCGCAACTCTAGCCGAGCCCGATGTTCCCCGAGTAGATTGTGAGGAGCAGCATGATTGAGAAGCCCGTGAGAAGGCCAAGGTTCTGAATTCCGAAGGTGACGAGGTTGTTCTTCTCCTCCCCGTCCTCTTTGCTCACCTCGTTCATTTCTGGGAACTGGGTTCATGGTGCGATACGTTCACAAGCACGCGCTCGGGTCAGCACCGCGGTGACGCAACGCAGCCGCCAGCAATGCACACGCCACGCAGGGTGACTGGTTATGGGCGCACCTAACGGGGTTGACTGTTTGAAGGATAACAAGGGGCAAGTTACCACAAAACAGATTTTTTAAATTGTTACAATAATGATAGTACTTTCCTTTTACATCACGCCATTCATGCTAATAGCATCTCATAACGCTGTACATTAAATATGAGGACCAATCCCATATACAGCCACTACCAAGCAAATGAAAACCCTACTGTCAAGCAAAATGAAAAGTATATAAATAAATTAAGAAATGGCACCAAAACAAAAATCAAAACAACAAACAAGTTATTACAACAAAGATTTTAGCCCATGAGGTCCGCACATCCCAGACCACGATCCCAACTTCCCAACTAAGCCAGGAAACCTTCACAGGAAGGGCGGTGGAGTGCCTCTTGCGCTTACAAATCAATAATTAGATACTTCTGAGGGCAAATGTGTGTTGGAAAGCTTGACAACAACCACCCATGCGTGTTCACGATTGTTCTCCCTTGTTTGTAAAGGGCCTTCGCTATTCTGAAAACCAAGACGCATTCTCTCGAGCAAAAGTAAAGGATTTCCTGTGGGCACGCACCATGTCAGCCAGGGAGATGTAGAGAAACATGCCTCCTGCCAGCGCAAATATCCAATTGTGGGCAAAGTGACTTCCGGCCACGATGCCGCACACGAGCCCCAAGTAGCAGCTGCACGCCGACAGGAAGTTGAAGAATAGTGCTTGCTGTATGCTCATTCCGGCATTCAGCAGAATCACAAAGTCACCTGTGATGGCAGACACAACCGCCAAAATACCCAATTAACAGGCGCACACAAAACTACAGTGGAAATGATTGTGCATTTTTAATAGTGATGGCTGAGCACGGGCCCAAAATCCCAAAACAACCAGTGACCAGCAACAAACAGCACTCTTAAAGTTGTAATATACAAGAGTGAAATGCTTCTTGAATTGAACTTGGCAAAGTAGATGATGGTGATGGGAGGGAACTCTGCAGTGGAGCAGCGCAAGGGGAAAAGAAGAGTGTTGCGATTTGATATGACGGCAAACATAAAAGTTAATGAACACTCATTTATTGCGGCTGCAATGCAAATGATTAATGCAAGCTTAATAACGTTTCTGCTTTCCTTTAATGCTTCAATTGCAGTCCCTTTCGTCTCAAAGGAAAAATCTAAAGTGTTGATGCTGGGATGTTAGACGTACAGTATGCGCAAACTTAATTTTTTTTTACTTTTTTACAGTAAACCTCGGAATGGAACACGTCCCAGAGGAAGTCCACCGCAGAGGTGGAGCGATTAAATCATTGTGTGCAGGTGCTGGAGTATATCGCCACATGTGAGAGGTGGTGACGAGTTGGGAAGGCCTGCATCTGGCAGTGGTTTGACCCTGGCTGATGATGATAAGTATGTGATTCCGCAAATTGATGTAACCGACGACAAAATGGCCGCTGCTCCACCATTGTGGCAACTCTTCGAGCCACGACGCCCGTACCCCCTGCAACTGCTTCCTCCCCAGGCAACTCCAGCTGGGCGACCCCTCTCTCTCTCTCTGCTTTCAAGTCTCTCCTCAAAGCCTTCATCCCCTCTTCACCCCCCGTGCTTTCAGACCTCCTCGCTTGCTTCTTCTCTTCCCTTGCTCAGTCTCCCTTGCTTGTTCCAGTTACCCAATTTGTTTCCGCGCCCCCTGAGACGTTTGTTACATTACGGGCACGTTTTACGCAGACGTTGATGTCGTAATTACATGATAATTTCCACTTGTAACGAGCCACACGATATTCACTCACTCTCGTGGAGAGAGAAGGACTCGGTTACACAAGGAACCACAGACAGGTGGGAAGGTAACCACGCGGTGAGCTGGCGATATCACTTGCCGGTCTGCTCTACATTATGGTGTTATCAATCATTTATCTATTTTCCCGCATACGCATATAACTCGCAGACTCATATACCCCGCAAAAATAGCGTTTTGTGTAAAACAAATTTCAGATAACCGGCACCTCCATATACCCCGCATGCATTCATATATTTAACGTCGTTACTGCAGCTTAATTCCATCATATTAATACGAAGTTTACATTTGTAATACATTCCACCATCAATTGTTAACATTAAAATCATAACGTGCACAAAGTTAACAAACTAACCGGAAACGAGTGAACTTAAAAGAGTAAAGAACAGAAGTAAATATCCAATAAATAAGTAACACATAACTGGTAGATAAGTATAGTTTTAGCACTGGTAGATTGCGCACTGCGCAGACAATAGCGGCACTATGGTAACTCCGTTGTCTCGCCCCCACCCCCTATCTCTCCCCCCAGCTGCCCCACCCCCCAACCCCCCACCTCTCTCTCCCCCCAGCTGCCCCAACCCCCACCTCTCTCTCCCCCCAGCTGCCCCACCCCCCAACCCCCCACCTCTCTCTCCCCCCAGCTGCCCCAACCCCCACCTCTCTCTCCCCCCAGCTGCCCCAACCCCCACCTCTTTCTCTCCCCAGCTCTCCCGTCGCCGGTAAACAGTGCGCGCGCTTCACACATTGTCGTTTTATTGTACAGACAATTCATTTAAAACGTGATAACATGTGCAATTTTAGTGTGAGTGGTTTATTCAGCAGTGCTTTAGTCAAAGGTAAGTGTTGCATAGTGGATAGTCCTACCATGAAAATGTTTTACATGTCACACGTGTAAAATATTTTTGGGATAGCCCGCACCTCCATATACCCCGCAGGGTCTTGTTTTGTTTGTAAAAAGTGGTATACCCCGCGGGTTATATGCGGGAAAATACAGTAGTGAGTGTTTACATGTGTGAGGAAACCGGACCACCCAGAGAAAACCCACGCATGTGAGAAGAAAACACACTATCCTGTACAGATGGAACTGGTGCAGTCTACATTTTTGCCGTACTGTTTTCTCCTGGCGAGCCAGAGTACGGCACCTCTTTGACGCCCACGGGGAGGGAATTTCACAACATTTGTGCGATCTACCAACCCTCGCTGCGTCCACAAGTGCTGGACTAAAGGCCACGTGCATAGCCACCATCGCCCGGCAACATGTAACGTTTAAATTATCTTGATGGCTCCTAACAACAATACATCTCCACGAGTGCACAGGCGTCAAGGCAGTGCACATGGGGATGCAGAATCGTGGGACTCACCCAGTTCGTGCGGGAATTCCTCGCATAGGATGGCGATGGACGTGCTAATGCCCTGGAACACGGACACCGTGAACGAGGCTCCGATCGCCAAGCCGTCGATGAAGTTGTGCAGCCCATCGCTCAGGGTGATCATCCACGCGAGCGTGCCGATGCGCGAGTAGCGTGTCCCTTTGAGCCAGTAGCACATGCCCTGCGACACCTGCGCCTCCTGCGGAACATGGAGTTTCGTGATTCACCGATCCGGTCTGATAGTAGCGTTAAAAATAGCCTACGTGACATCAGAATCCGAGTCGTTATGTAGACTAGAAGAATCTGATGAGCTATGAAGCTCATTTTAATATGTTCAGTCAGGGTGGGTCAGAAAGTTACAACAACAAATAATGCAAAAACAGATACGAGTGCAAAGTATAGGAAAGCTAAGCCAGTCAGTATATAAAAATAAATAAGGTACAAATTGCATAAATTCCAGCCGATATTTCAACACCAAATGCAATCTTTGGCAAGGCAAAAAAAACAAAAGAGTCCCAGACCACACCAAGACAACACAGTCCCTCAATAAAATTGCACATTAAAATCTAACTATCGATACATGGGTAAGGATCAAAGTTACAGATCACATCTCTTAAAGTATCTCTTCACAATGTAAGCCAGAAAACTGTAAAAAACCAAAACATCCGCAATACATTAACAGTACAGTGCAAGCTCTTGTCAGCGGTTTACAGACCAATAGGGTCATGGGTGAGAGAATTCATGTGTAATAAGAGCCTATGTCCGGCTCACGTGGTGATCGGCTCTGCCGGTCCTGCTTTACAGCCAATGGGGGGAGAGTCTGGGAGCATGGCCCTGGCGTGATCGAGGGGTGCCAGCTAGAATGATTGGTTCTGCTGGTCTTGGCCTCAGCCAATGGGAAGACAAGTCAGGGGCGTGGTCCCGGGAGTTGATGGGGAATCTAGAAAATTCGGCGCAGGCTACCAAGGATTGGCTGGAGCGTACCACGTGACCCAGGCATTAAATAAGGGGAGAGATGAACGACACGTGGTCAGACGAAGAACGAAGGAAGAGAGGGGCCACGCGCGAGCGGGCTCCGAGTGCCACGTGGCGGTGTGTCTCTTCTGGTCTGTCTGCCCACTTCCCGTTGCCTGCCAGCAGCGGGGAGTACTTGTGAACTGGAATAAATAAAAGGACCGATTCCACAAGTCGTCTCCAAGAGTATTATTACACATGGATAAGTGGAATTTAACGTTGAGTGTCTAAACACGCGAGGGGATATGTAGTGTGCGGTCCTGATGATGTATTTACTGCATTACACGAATCACAATGAGCTCCCAGTAAAAAAAAAAATGTCAATTTATAACTGTTAAAGCTTTTTTACCCAGGAAATCTTCAGTCGACTCTCTTTCCAGAGGGGTCCTGCCAAGTTTGCACCAGTTAGGGGCGACACTTGCTATGTCTTTCCCAATCAAGTAATTAGCAAGTCATGTTTAAAATTTGGCGAACTTGAACCATGATGCCAGCTCACAGGGGCCTACGATTTTAGAATTACGTCACGGGGCCATTAGCATCCTCCGTGAAGCGGACGACGCGTGCACCTTACGCCCCGATTCCACAACAATAATCGGGGCGGTCGCCGGGGTTCGAACCCCGAGCCTCTGCAACAAGTGGAGAGAGCGCGCAGCCGCTTGGCCCGGTCGTGTATAAACGTGCGGCCGGGTACCTGCACAGAGAGGGAGCGGCTCAGCATGACCTCGTTGGCGTGCTCGTGGGTGACGTGCGTGTGATGCCCATGGCCTCCCCCCGCAGGGTGGAGGGGGTTCCCATTGGACTGGTGCTCCGTCCCATCCTCGATCGCCTTCAGAGTCTCGGTTGCACCGTCCTCGAGGTCTGGCTGGCTGCTGTAGCACTCGGCTCGGTTAGGCGGCCTCTGAAGAATCCACAAGGTTCACAAGTCGAAAAAGTCAAAGTGAGTTCGTGCTCAAGTGAGCACTGAAACGGTGCTCGTCTCCTGTTTACAACCCTGAGCCAGTGGTGGAAATTCTGCAGTCCTATGGTGGGGGCGAGTCCATTCATAGGACAACCAATCTTAACGTCCCCACAAAGTGGTGCTCACGTCATCGACCCTGGCATGAACGATGGGCCGAGTCAACCCGGAATTATGAGTTGAACTCCCAACCTTCCGATTACGGTCGACTAACTCTACCACAGAGCCCCCTGGCCGGACTCAATATTTACACATCGTTCCCTCGTCCGCAAAATATTTGTTAAAGATGTATTTTTAATGTTATATTTCTTTGCCTTTGTCGTGCTTATTAATTAATGAAAATTACCATAAGAGAGATAGGACTTGGTGGTGTGTGTATTACACACGCAGAAAGGTGATGTCTCGTGACATGCAAGGCATGAAGGGGGACCAATCCTGTGGCCACAATCGTGCCTTTTGCCATCAGCTTGTGCACATCACTGATGTGGGACGTGTCAGCTTGCTGCGGAGAGCCTGGGGCCTATCATAGGAGGCTGGAAGCTCTGCCACTCCCCTCAGGGTGACCGATCGGCATAGGAGCCGCTCCACGCTCAAATGAGAAGGTGAAGACGTTCACCTTTGTGGGAAATCTTTAGGATCATTTATTAGTTAGCTTTAATAGAATGGACAGAGGTGATGATAGCTTGGGGAGGCCTTCATCCAGCAGTAGATCACAGCTGACGATAAGTATACGAGGAGCAGGTGGTGGTGTGGTTGGATTTGCATCGCTGAGCCAGGCCCACTCTGAGTTTCCCATTTTTTGAGCGAGAAGTGAAAAAAACCATAAAAATTCAGATTTTTTTTTGGGCCGAGAGTATTTCCACTTTTTATGTTTTAGACGTTGGCATGGTCGTTAATGCAAATTCCTCTCCTGCTTTGCTCTTTAGCATGCACAACTCTAAAGTTCTCATGCATAAAACTAAACAATCCACATACTCACTACACGTTCTTTAAAAGCAAGCCCTATTTTGAAAATACATAGGCGAAGAGTGTCACACAAAGGTTTTCACTCAAGGTACTCAAGGTAGACATCACCTCGTCTTTCTGCTTCAGCACCATCTTGAGAATCTTCTCGGCGAAGAAGAAGAGATAGAAGCCAGCAAACACAACCGCCGACTTGTAGACATAGCCGTCCTTGACTGGATCCAGCCCAAAAGCCTGAACGCACACGCGAATCACGGTCACCAGAGGGACAATCGCCAATCGCACCAAGCCACAGCACAAGGCAGTTTAACCCCACACAATACAATTCGAGTCCATGACGCAACAAGTGTGAAATGCCTGCCACCACAGCGAAGGAGGAAAATAATAATGAGATGAAACTAAATGACAATGTCCCTCTCAACCGATCTTTTTTAATTTCTGACCTCTGCTTGTGACAGTTTGGATGACTGCACCATTTTCCACGGGAGATGAATGCCCTTCACATGGTCTACAACAGAGGCCGGGCACAGTGATTCGTGAAATTCATCGGCCTCTTCTGGAATCTTGAGAGTGGCTGCACGTGATTGATGGCAGCAGAAAACCCCTCAACCCTACCTTCTCCCGGGGTTGGGCAATATAATAAAAAATCTAAATAACCAAGCCATAAATATTAAGGCATAAATATTGAAAAAAATTATTATATGCAGCCACGAATTAATTTAACGTTCTAACCCATCTCTACTGGACATCTGTGAAAAAATGCTTCATAGCGCATCAGATTCCTCCAGTACAAATACATATTTTGATTCTGAATAGTATTGTTTGATTCTGAATAGTATCAGTTTGGTGTTTTAACATCTTAACACCTGTTTTGTTGCCAGAAAAACCTATTATCATATTTTGGTACTGGCAAAGGAGGTCCCATGATGTAGAAGCTCACCCGAGCTCTCATTACTCTGATAGTGCATTGTCTTTGGGCTGTACGGTTTTTGGCGTCCTCTGGTCTAACACCGTTTGAGACGAGGCTCAAAAGAAAGCTGTCTCTGGTGTGGACCAATCAGTTTCAAGGACAATGCGTACATTATCAGAGTATGTTTTTTTTGCATTCTGACCACAAGCATTGTGGTTAATACACACATGATTCATTGTAAAAGGTTTCAGTTTGGTGTTTTAACATCTTTACACCTGTTTTGTTGCCAGAAAAAAAGGGGGAAAACCTATGATCATATTTTGGTACTGGCAAAGGAGGCCCATGATCTGAATAGTATTATTACTTAAACAATGAATCAGAGGAATGAAAGATGTTGGGAGAGGGAACGTGCGTAGCTGCAAAGTGAAAAACTGCCCATTTTTATGTAATTCAGCCATTATTCAAGCGTTGCGACATCTCAACTACGTTCCCCCAGAGGGTCGGGAGACGTGGGCGGTCTGGACGATGTTTGCCGCAGGAAGCCGTGCGACCTGCACACCTTTCGGTTCGTAAGGTCGGAGCGATGACGCGGTTTAGCACAGCCTGGGGGGGGGGGGGGGGGGAATTCTCCACCCAGAGGGATTCATCATTTAGGCAACTCCGACTGCGCCACAATCCACACAACACTGCACTATCTCGTACTCGTGCACAAGCCGCCGTTCCTCATCCTCGCATACGAGTTCCAATGTAATTTCGGGTAATTACCTATATGTGTGTGTATCCTGTACGGGGGGGTTGTGGCGCAGTGGTTAGCGTGCTGCGCTAGGAACCCGGCGACTTGGGTTTGATTCACGCTCTCGGTCAACAACATTGCCGATGATCTGAACCGATCCTGTGTCTCCCCTTGGTCGACTCAGTCTCAAATGAGTAACTACGTGTTAAACTGGTGTGGTGTATAAATATCGCCACTAGGGAGACAGGCGGTCACCAAAGGCGGTCACCCACCCCCTCGTGTGCCGTACTGGTCTAACAGCACTTGCCCTAACAGTCTGTTACGACTATACGGAGGATCTGTCTTTTGGAGGTGCTGTACAGTATACTGTATAGTGAATAACTCGGCCAAATGGCTCTGTGGTAGAGCGAGTGGCTCGCAATCGGATGGTTGCGAGTTTAAATCCTGGTTGGGGGTTTACCCGGCCCATCACCCATCTCTGGGAGTGATCATAATGAGTGCCGCTTTGTGGAAGTCTTATGAAGAGATTTGCCGTCACCATATAAGTGTGAAATTTCCACCACTCTTAGGAGATGAGCACTGCGCTCCTGTACTCATTTGTGTTGGAAATTACTTTGACTTTTTATCTACTATCAAATAGAACAAACTGGGATGGCGTCTGTATGTTGGTCAAGATAAATCGTTGAGAACATCACTCAACAGGGTCTTCCAGATGTTTTTTTTTACACAAACATTTGTTTCGACATTATAAACCTAAACTGAGTCTCGGCTGTTTGCGTTTCATCAGCAGCGCGGCCAATAAACTATCGCTCCTTGGCAGCAACTGACGCTGTTGCCAAGTCATCCACGATCACTGCGGCTGACAACAGTTGCATTCAGCAGGGGGCAGCACGAACGTATAAATGCATCACTCGCTTCCTCCGCTAGCGGCAGTGATGTCGGTTAACAAACCGGTAAGGGAGTCGGTTTCAATTGCAAAATAGAAATCCCAATAAGATGTAAATAAGTGAAGCAAGTCCTGGTGAAATTCCTTACCCCTCCGCTGCAGTAGATGGACAGAAAATATGGAGTGTGTGTGAAAGTACCTGAGCCACAAACTACTCCTCAGCGTGCCTAGTAAGGCGATAATGGATCATACTTGCAAGTACTGTACATTTGCCAGCAAGATGAGGAGGTAGCTGCCCTAGCAAGTTACAATACGCTGAGGAAAATGCCTGCGGAACCTTGTGGTCGAACGGAGACCACACAAGGCATCCTTTAAAATCTGTGGAACCCGCGAGTGGTCCGAGTCGTTACAAAAATGCCACCATGCAAAGCAGCCTGCACACAATCCCCACCGTCTCAGAAATTTGCTTGTAAGGCCATCCCTGCTCGGAACTTCTCCTGGTCTCAGGCTACGGATCACTTTCCACACCTCCTCAGCCGATATCATCACAGGCAACCACTCAAAGTGGGATGGCGACTTCCTCCACACTATGCTCTGAATCTGGCTACCAGAGTTCAATTCCCGGCCACAGCTAACATGAGTGGAGAGTGGTAGGTGAGAACATGTCCCAGCCCCCACCTCCTTCACTAACATGCACTGGCCAGCGTGGTCAAGGATGGTCAAACAACCTCCACACTGACAATGGGGAAGCCTTCCTCCAGCAGTGGATTTAGAGGGCTTTCCATTGTCAATAATATACGTGTCGTGTGTTGGAGATACAAACCCTAACCCTGAATAATATTACGGTAAAATAAGAGTATCTCACCGCTGCCATCACTAGACAATGTACAATTTATCAAATGAGCCGGAAGACATCGATCGTGATCTAGCATCACCTAACAATAAAAAAAACTGAAGTTGCACTTTTAAAGTCACCATAACTGCATGAAGGGTTTCTTGGCATTAATCAGCAGAATGTATGCAGCGTGCACCCGGGGCCTGTACTAAAATCGGCTGCCCATGCGGGTGGGCGGCCGCACGCACGCACGGATGCGTGACAATTGTCGCAATGTGCTGTCACCACGATTCTGTCTGCCCAACCCCAACGCTCCCCAATCACTACAGCACACACCGTCCTCCTCCTCCCTTGCCACCAGGAGCACAATTCTACCGTGTGGATGTTCTTCTACCACTGCCATAGTCACGTTGAGAGTCGACCACCAGACACGGGCTCGCGTTCGCCATTTCGATGCAGATTTTAAACCGGCATCTCAGATTAATTCGACTTGAAAAGCGCAGAGCAAAGTACAGAGCGGAATAATTTCCATCGACATGTCGTGGGGTCACGAAGTTACTGCAGTCCTTTGAAAATGAGAAAACAATTGTTGGTTTTTGTTATCTATTGTGTGTTCTAATCAAGTGATTTGTATGCCTTTGTGAAGGCATCCAGGATGCACTACAGGTCTTCTTTCGAACAGACAGTGATGGCATTGTCATCTGCATACTGGAGCTCCATGATGGAAATGGTGGAGAGTTTTCTCTTTGCCTTGAATCTGTTGAGGTTGAAGAATCTGACGTCTGTTCTGTACAGGATTTGGACTCCCTGAGGCAGATTTTGGCCTGTGAGGTGGAGGATGGCAGCAATGAAGATTGCAAACAGGGTGGGCACAATGATGCAGCCCTGTTTAACCCTGTTTAACCCTGGTTTCCACGAAGGATTCCGTTTCAACACCACTGTTAATTAGCTCTTTTGATGACATGATGTCATGCAGCAGTCACAGTACCCTAGTGAATGTGTCAGGGCAGCCGATTTTTGACAGAATCAGCCAGAGGGCATGACAGTTAACAGAGTCAAAGGCTTTTGTAAGGTCTATAAAGGCCATGTAAAGTGGTTGCTTTTGTTCCCGGCATTGCAGTTGTCGTACTGTGAAAATCATGTCTGTTGTGTCGCTGGATGGGCGAAAGTCACACTGATTCTCGGAGGATTTCTTCTGACAGGGGTAGGAGTCGGTTTGCTAATATATCACTATGTAACACGATTTTTGTTTCTGGGTAGTAAGTGTTAATTTATAATTGCTTATTACTCAAAAGTATAGAAAATGGATATTATTCCCGACAAACTTTGCTTTTGTGACCAGAACTTTACGTGAAGAAATTACACACATGCACACGTTTTCTCATTGAAAATAGGTAAATTTCTAAATATCATTGTCCTGGTCACAAAAGCACAGTTTGTGGGGAATAATAGCCATTTTCTGTACTTTCAGGCATAAGCAATTGGGATATAACACTTATTACCCAGGAACATTTTTTTTTGTTACACAGTAAATATTTTCCCGGTGGTAGACAGGAGGGAGATGCCTCTGTAGTTCCCACAATCAGCTTTGTCCCCCTTTTTAAAAATGGTAACAATCAGGGCATCCCTAAGTTGTGGGGATTTCCTTCTTGTGCTGGATCAAGAGCAGATCATGTACAGAACCGAGAAAAAGTTTGTTAACCGCAATCATAATTATGAAAATTCCATAGTTTTACCATTATAGACTTCTGTAATCAAAACCGGCCTTTTCTTAAATATCCAATAGGGTTTATATTAACCAATTCCATGTATTTTGAAACAAAATGATATATGAATTAAACATGAGTAATTAAGGATCAGGGTATGTGAA